ATGTGTTATTCCTATCGAACATCAAACGGATTAACTTAAGGGTTGCGTTTTCACCTTACGGTTCCTTTCTTTCCTCCATTCCTCCAATCGCGTTTAGGAAGTTGTACCTTCCGTGTTCGTAACTTAACATGGCAAGTTTAGTTGTTTGTGGAATATACAGGATTAGGATATAGCACAGAGATGAGGGTGTTCTCCCTTCTTGCAAACCCAGGATGTGCCCTACTACGACCAATATTCATTCCGAAATAAATGAACATGCACCATCTCGTACATTTAACGAGAATACTATACCTCTTAAAAGCTCTAGCTGAGGGTCCAAAACGCAAGAGTAAATGGTCTCGGGTCAAATCAACATACACGAGTCTTGAAAAAAAAATCCAACTAAACTTGAGGAGACAACTTAATGCAGCTATAATACAGTGCTCTTATCCTATGCCCTTACCGTGGAACGCTTCCATACATGAAGACCTCCTTAACTACGATATCTTCAATGTAATAGTGCCTCCTGCGTTTACAACCTAAGGGTGGTCGTTAGTTGCGTTCACCAGAAAGGTACTGAGTGACGCGATTATTTCCTATTTTAATTCGAGATATGATATCAAAGCATAACGAAAGACAACTTCGATACTTGGAATTAATGTCAGCCAGCCTGAAAACGAAATTTCCGAACCAGAAAATAAATATTACTAGCATTTAGACTATATTGACAAGACATTTATTAATATTGGCGCTAATGAAGATAACGGCAATAGACGAAAATTAAGTGTACAGTCTTACAGTGTTAGTCGGTTCCTTGCTCTACCTTCTAATCGTTTCTGAGCAGGAAATAGCATTTTCTGAGAATAGAGTGCCGGGGGTGTATCTTATTTCATAACAGTTAATATTATTCTTTTTAATAAAACTTCTTATATTGAGACTAAATAAACAAAAAAACCGTCTGTTATAATATCTCCGCGAATTCCTGCATTGCTCTATATATACTAGTAAATAACACTATTTGAGAGATGAAGTAATCGCCACAGATTAGGTAGTTTAGTGCCATCACCATCTCCCAGAACTAATGCAGCTAGACACCTCTCCATCATAGTGTACTATTATTTCAAGTGCTACTTAATATATTTATATTTAGGCCATTGTTAACTAAACTGGTTATCTACTAGCAGTCCAAAATTAAGACAAAGTTCCATTTCTACATTCGCAAAAGAACTCAGACTTAACTTTTGCTTTCGAACTTCGCTTCTCGCACTGAAAACCATCGTAGGCCTCTAACTTAGCTCCTTTCAGCAATGTCCAGTTAGATCAAAAAAGGTGTGCTTGCTCGCCTCTCAAAGAAATAACACCTACAGGCAATGCTAATTTTCTTAGCGTAAGCGTCCTCCAATCAAAGCTCAAGTCTTTGTCCAATCATCAAAAAGTTTTCTAGTTCACTGAGTGAGATCCTCAGTGTCTGGACAAACAGCATAAAGGCAGCAGTCTAAATTATGACAACAACTAATCCTTAAAGTCACAGGTAAGCTAGAAACTAACCTTTCAATCAAGGTTAAAAGCAGATCTTTCGAACCTCAGGAATTTAGTTTCGCACCTTCTATGACTCTCCACTCAAGGTGCCAACCTACACAGCTGAAGCTATAAAGCTTAACTTTAAATTAAGAGATTTAGCAGCCAAGATCTCTGCGATCGCAGCACAATAAGAATACTGAGTCAATACCTACACTAAAGGAAGATAAAGACAAAGACAAAAATGAGTGTGGAGGAGCAGGTCGAGCACCATAAAAATTCTTTAAATAGTGTTATTACCCAAAAAGATATTGAACTACAAAGGTATTTGATAGGTCTCAACCAATTTATCCGAGAAGGATAATTTAGCAGTTAAACTACAACACCTAAGTTAATACGGCCTATAATAATTCCTCATCCAGAAACAATCTTCCACTCATTGACTAGACTACTCAATGACTTTAAGAATTCTCCATTAGTGGAACAATTCTACATTAATTCTCTTTTCAATGAACAGAAGAACTCTCTAGTAATTGAATAGAAAATTTGGACACAGAACAATTTGACACTCTATATAGCCCATACTATTCCTCACAATTTTTAGTAGCAAAATAGTGCTGGGGTAGGATTAGAGTTTAATTAAAATCTTAATATTTCTCTAATTTTAGTATTATTTTCATGAAATTTTTACCTACTAATTAATAAAAACTCTGACACTCGAGTAATAGGTTAAATAATCTTGAAGCACACGCATTCTATACTGGCGTCTCACCCCGATGTGATTTACTCCAATACTTAAATAAGGGTGGCCCATTCAAACTTTGGGTGAAACCTTGTTAAAAATGGCTGTTATATTCTTACGGTGTCCTTTAGTGCAAGAAGCGAAGATCGAGAGCAAAATGCATGTTTAATGATAATAAGTGATGATTCGTACACTATTGTCCTATTCCAAGACCATTAGTGTGGTCTTCGGCCCTGTTAATTTGAAACTGGTTGACATAAATAGTATTTCAAGTAATGCTACTGTTCGATAGTAAGCAGGTTCTAAGACTGCATTAGTGTGAGGTAATAGTCTTTGCTGCTTGTCTAGATAACTAGAGGCTTTGGATATTCCCTCTAAAAGTATACGTACCTACCCAGTATAACAGAAGGTTTAATGAGTTAAGTACCAAGCATATGTACATCTACTTTAATTTTATTGCCTGTACATACCGAGAATATCTATCTAGTATAATAAGAGCGCTATCATAGCCTACCATCGCCTTAGGTAGTTTTATAAAATTCATGCTGTAAAGGTACCTTATGATTATACGCAAAGGCTCCTTTGTAATATTAGAGCTGTTAAGTTACAAAGTCATAAACACAGAATCTATAATTCTTCCTACCTCCATCTTTTCTATAAATTCTGTTTCAGTTTTTTCCTTCTGTATAAAATAGTTTCTTATACACAAATATATTAACTCTTTATCAATTTTTTTTAGAGGAAAATGCTGCTCATCTGCCCTCATACACCGAGAAAATTTAACACAGCTTTTTAACTTCGGCTCCGGCAAGAAACGCAAACCCACAGGTCAGTTTCCACACCATTCTTAAAGAAATCTTGTAGACCCTATATACGGTTGGGCTCCACAATCAATCTATATCTCATAATTTTATTAATATTGTAGCGCACCCACATAAGGTTTTCTTCCATCATCACGTAGCATTAATCTTATATTACCTAAAGCTGTTTTTTAACCTGTACTTTACATTTCCTTGCTCAAAATATTATTAATACCCTTTCCAAGTTAATTGCTATTCTTCAACCAGGTAAATATAACATTTTAATTATAACATCTTCCATATATTTAACAGAACATAATTTATAAAAGGTTTAAAATTCATTCTATACTCATAAATCTTTCTTTACTAACCACTCTCCCTAGCCACTTAAATGATTTTCATTTAACTTTGTTATCTGATCACCAAACCACATAACGCTTTGTTGTAGACAATTTGGTATGCTTTTTTCAGATTCGGCTATAACAATATTCAAGATTTTATGTGATCAAAAGGCCAAACTGTCCACCACGCTCTGCGCCCATCTGTCATAGTAAAAGCGATAATTTACTACTCTCTCGACCCTGTCTCGCTAGTAAAACCTTTTAGGGTTGTCCAGTCTAGTAAGAAAATTTTATATTTCTCGTCTTCATATCTATCAATTTTTCAGTAGGAACTGTGTAGCACTTAGTAATATATAGTTTACTCATACATTGTTTATTTAAACTCCTTACGTCATCTCTGAATTGCGATGTAAATATTCTTCAAAGGCAATTTCAATTCAGGTTTAGACTACAACTACTTGTCATGATTTCACTCTTAATGAAATTCTAGCAACCCTACTAATATAAATTATCACATAATTGTTTAAAAACTTTTAGCTTTAGCTAAAATTTTGTTGGTTCCATGCATAGCGAGAACCCTCTTTCATTTCTACTTACTAAGGCATCAACCTCACGACTGACTTTTTTTTTCCGGATTTAGTTTTAAAACACGCTCAGCTAGAATTCTAAACACACTACCACCTTTATATTTTAAACTTTTCAACTGTTACTTTAGTTCCATCACCAAATTTGTACTCGGTTTTCTTTCTAAATCTCAAAAACCTGCAAGTAATATATCCTTTTGTTCTTAAAAAGTTAATTATGCAAATGGCCATGTCTCGCACACGTTAACGTTCTCATTTTTTTAGCTTTCCTTTTTCTTATTTGCACAATATGACTTGTAATCTTCAAGATTCACCAGATTGTAAATTCAGCTTACATAGTCTCTTTTCCTAATATTATATCGATGCCACTTACAAGCTTATAATTAATCATGTACACTAACTCACATCCCGTTAAGGTGAATTGATACAACAACTATTCTTAGTGGCGTATAATTTTCCTTTTACTTTTCTATATAAAGAGCACTTACTAGCATTTCTTATAACTAATACAACTACCATTTTCCAAGGAATAAGTTTACTCTGTCTACAACAATACAATTAACTTAATTCACTGTTTAATGATTTACAAAAGAAACTTTGTGCGGTCTCACCTGCAAGGGTGGCTTCGAATACAAAATTTTCTGTTATTATAACTACTTTTTTAAATATTTTATTCAAATTAAGTATTAAATTATTAAATACTTAAAAGAAGGCGTAACTACAACGTCATTATATTCTGTTGTCAATCTACTTTAATGCATCATATTATTGAATAAACAATAAAGTCATATAAATAGTATAGAAGTTTTTTATAGACTCTAAAGTATTATAACATATAGTCATAAAAAAAACTTAGCGCGGCGTGAAGTTATTTAAGTTTATGGGCTCCTAGGGGGGGCTATCCCAGACTCCACAGAGCCACAAGACAAAAAAGAGCGCGTCGCAACCCAGCCATCCCATATATATAGCGTTCTGCCCTTTAGCGCTCCCCCTTCATTTGTACACCGGAAAAAAAATCTTTATTACGTTTCTTTGCTGCTTTTTTAACCTTAAATAAATCATTTTTCAGGATGAAAATAGTTGAAGAGACTCTTTCAATTCCACTTGACTTTCGCTTTCCCTATATACCTTATCCCATTCAAAATGAACTTATGAAAAAAATATTTGAAGCTATTGAAAATGGAGGCTTGGGGCTTTTTGAGAGTCCAACGGGAACTGTATCAATAATATATACTTTAAATATTGGTAAACTATTTAAAGACAATGAATAGGGAAAAACTATGAGTATAATATGTTCTACCCTTACTTGGTTGCGTGCTAATGTTGAGAGACAATTTAAATTTCAAAATGAAGAAAAATTAGGTATTATTGTTAACTTCCTTAACTTAGCTTAATTTAATAATTAGTAAGTTTGATATTATAGTGGTGTTAACATATATATATATATATTTAGCAGAGGAACCTTCTTGGATAGCTCAGTTTAGACAACAGCAACTTGAAGAATCATTAAAAAGAAAAAAAGAATTGCAAGAAAAAATAAAAAAAAGATTTAAAGTCAAGAAGTTCTCTAAGAAAGAACGGCGTAAAGTCTCGACTAGAAAAATAGTTGCGTTTCTTGTTTATATATTCTTCCAATTTTCTGGCTAATTTTACGCCTCTTTATTCTAACTTTTCCCGTTTCTCAGGAAGCAACCCGTAATTTAGAAGGTTATTTATAGTAAACGTTATGCTTTTCATTCATCTCATTTTTTTATAGAACTTGAAGAGTTACTATCAGACTATTATAGCGACGACGAAGGCGGTCATCAATCAACGTTTTGATCTATTTACGTTTCCCTACTTTATTGGCTTCTTAAATACTTAACAGGACCGGATCATCAAGTTTTGAAGATGGAATCGATTTTGAATATTTTAATTTTAAAACTTTTGATACAAAAGTTTTTATTTTCTTTATGTTTTCTAAGTACCCGCTGAATTTTTAAAAATTTCTTTGAGATAATATATTGTTCACGGACGCATTCTCAGTTATCTCAATTTGTTGCTGAATTAAAAAAAACTTCTTTTGGTGTTTATTATAAATTTTGAACTACTAGAAATTAAAAAGTATTTTATAATAATTTACCTTATGGTTTACAGAAAATATTAATTTTGTTCTTCTTGCCTCACGCAAGCAATACTGCATCAACGAAAAGATCAATAAACATAATGTGGCGTTGATAAACGAATTATGTTTAGATTTAAAAGAGAAAAGTATTCTTTATTATTACTAGTTAATCTTTTGAATAACTTTATATTACTGGCGTTGTGAAAGCCAATAAGGGCTGTGCTTTTTGTAAGAAGAAGAGTTTTAAGACGTTTGCTGATCGCGTGCTGGTAAGACTCCCTGGAGGACAATATTGCGTGGCTCCTTCTTGCCTATTGGGTTTTGCTTGCTAGAGAGATCCTAAAGATCTAATGGAAGTAAAAAAATTGGGGGTGACGCTGGATACGTGTCCTTATTATTCCACGAGGGAAGCCATTAAAAATGCGGAGGTGATTTTTACATCTAGCAGTAAAGCAGAAAAAAAGCAGACGCTCAATAGTCCGTGTGTGCAGATCATAGCGATGCCTTACAATATGCTGCTGCATAACCCCACGCGCTCCGCCTCCGGTATATTTTACTGCGATGCTGAATTAATTTTTTTTACCGCAGGTTGTACTTTTTTATTTTTCTTGATACTTACTCTGCTACCACGAGGTGTGGACATCAAAGGGAACGTTGTGGTTATCGACGAGGCGCATAATATCATCGAGGCGCTTTCATCCGTCTACTCCGTTAGCATTACTCTCCTTCAAGTACTTATAAAAAAGAAATTCCAAATATTGGTTACTCCCAGCATTCCCTGCAGCTGCTAAAAGCGGAAGACGAACTTAGTTCCTACTTTAAAAAATATCGCATTCAGCTGAACCCGAAAAATGTTATATACATAAAACAGCTGTTGTTTATTTTGAAGCGGTTAAGGTACTTCTCTTAGCCTTTTTCTCACTTTTTATTTTTCTTTATTAATTAATTTCAGGCTTGAGTTTAATATAAATAACAAAACGGCTTCAGAGCTGCTTGAAAGTTCCCCTGAATTGGAGTCTTTTGAAGGTTTTCTTTTGTATACTTATTTTTTTTATAAAGTTATTGATTTATCTTTTTTTTTAGACATTGGTTCTTCCGAGTCTGTTATTTATGCTCTAAACGAGTTTGCTATCAGGTGCGAGATTGAAAATATGAATCTTTACAAACTGGAAGGCTACTGCGCCAAGTCCAGGCTCGCGAACAAGGTCACCTAGTAATATAGACTCTCTTCTTTTTTTTTCTTTATATTATCTTCAGTTGAATGGCTTTGCAAAACGCCAGTTCAAAGAAGGTAGCACAACCAGTTTTTATGTTTTTATGACTCATTTTTATTATAATAAAGGAAAGTTTTCCTTGGAAAAATCCTCGCGTTCGTCCGCTTTCCAAGCCGTTCAGAGTTTTATATTTTCTCTGACGTCTCCGGATATGAATGCTCGCGTTATTCTTGAAAAGAAGAGTTACTTAATCTTCCTTTCATTTTTCTATTTTTCATAAAATTTTTTTAGAAAGAATTGAACTTTCCACGTTTAAGTTCTTCGTTGTTTCCTCTTCTGAATACTTTTCTGAAGTTATTAAAGATGCCCGCTGCGTTATTTTATGTGGAGGTTCGTTTAGCGGCGCAGCAAAGTTTTTCCTTTTGCCAAGTTTTCAATAAATTTTATGACGTATTAGGCACTCTCCGACCTCATGACGACCTTCTCAATCAATTAGTGAATACACTCGAGTGCAGTTATTACTATAAAAACGGAGAGACCGTTAAAAATGAAATTAAGAATAGCGAGGAGGCGGGACACATGGCTGTCCCCGTTGCCATGTTTTCCTGCAACCACGTCATTCCTCCTGAAAACTTACTGGGTACTATTTTATTGGTCAGTTAAAAAAACGCTTATTGATTGGTTGCATTGACTAATCAGCCAATATTCTTCGTTTTATGAATTTATATTTTTTAAAGTTATTTTTAATAAACTAAAAAGTTATGACGTTGAGTCAAACTTCCAACGGGCGGCTTCTAAACTTTTCCTACGAAACTCGGAATGATGAGTTTCTGGTTTTATTTTTTATCATAATGCAATTATTTATTATAAAGTTTTTATACATTACTTATTTTTAATGAATCTTAATTGTTATATAAAAAAGTTTATGATATTTATGTTGTATATTTTAGGTTAGTGAACTCGGCAGAATTATAGTGAAGCTTTGTGAAACGGTTTCCGGGGGTTTCCCTATTATTATTATTGCCTGAATATAAACATAATTTTTAAATGATTCGAGGAATTATTTGCTTTTTTCCTTCTTATGAATACATGAAATTTGTTTATGACTTTTTCCTAAAGAATGAAATTACAAAAGTTATTATGAAAAACAAAAGGGTTTTTACTATGCTCGCCACCAAACACAGCTTTTATAAATGGCGTGCTTAGATTTTTATGGAGCCTAAAGAGAGTGGAAGCGTTGAAAAGATTCTCGTCCAGTACGCTCACGCGGTGCACAGGAAAGTACGTGTCATAGGCGTAAATATTGGCTTTTCACGCGCTATACTTATGCCCATCTCCTGCGCAGGGAGGCGCGCTGATACTTTGCGTTGTGGGTGGAAAACTCAGCGAAGGCATTAACTTTAAAGACGAGTTAGGGAGGTTTACAAAAAAATCCCCACTAACATGGCTACAAAATGTAATGATTGACCAATTAATAAGGCTAATTTTGATGATTGGTCTACCTTATCCCAATAAAAATTCCTTGGAACTTAAAGAAAAGATGAACTATTTGTGCGCTAAATTAAATGTGTGCTTCTATTTTTTTTAGCAAACTCGCCTAGAACGTTTTATTTATTATATTAGAATTCCAATGCGGGAACGGCGTACTACCAGAACTTGTGCATGAGGGCTGTCAACCAGTCCATCGGTCAGTTTTATTAAATGGTATTTGCCACGCTGAAAGGCCAAGCGGTTCCTGCCTCTATAGGGCGGGCGATCCGTCACGAAAAAGACTACGCCGCTATACTTTTATTGGATTACCGCTTTTCCTCCGCTTCTATACAAGAAAAAGTTTTTATTAATTTCAGTATTTCCTGCGAATTTTGTTGAAAGCTTTTTCATCTTTTTAGCTACCCACGTGGATGATGAAAAGTTTTAGTGAAGATTGCAGTGAAGAGATTTTGTTTGACAGCGTTAAAAAAGTTTTTTTTTACTTGCTTCACTTTATTTGTGTACTTTATAAATATCTATTAGTTCTTCATGGAAAAATGACGCTCCCGTTGTCATAATAATCATAATAATAACAGCAAGTAAATTTGCTTTTAAAATTTATTTGGTATTGGACGTTAGCTTGTCCAGTAGGAAAGCTCCTCTGCGTCCTATTATTATTATTATTATTATTATTATTATTATTATTATTATTATTATTATTATTATTATTATTATTATTATTATTATTATTATTATTATTATTATTATTATTATTATTATTATTATTATTATTATTATTATTATTATTATTATTATTATTATTATTATTATTATTATTATTATTATTATTATTATTATTATTATTATTATTATTATTATTATTATTATTATTATTATTATTATTATTATTATTATTATTATTATTATTATTATTATTATTATTATTATTATTATTATTATTATTATTATTATTATTATTATTATTATTATTATTATTATTATTATTATTATTATTATTATTATTATTATTATTATTATTATTATTATTATTATTATTATTATTATTATTATTATTATTATTATTATTATTATTATTATTATTATTATTATTATTATTATTATTATTATTATTATTATTATTATTATTATTATTATTATTATTATTATTATTATTATTATTATTATTATTATTATTATTATTATTATTATTATTATTATTATTATTATTATTATTATTATTATTATTATTATTATTATTATTATTATTATTATTATTATTATTATTATTATTATTATTATTATTATTATTATTATTATTATTATTATTATTATTATTATTATTATTATTATTATTATTATTATTATTATTATTATTATTATTATTATTATTATTATTATTATTATTATTATTATTATTATTATTATTATTATTATTATTATTATTATTATTATTATTATTATTATTATTATTATTATTATTATTATTATTATTATCATTACTATTATTTATTATTATTTATTATTATTATTATTATTTATTATTATTATGTTATAATTTAATACTAAATCTTATTTATTACTAAATACTTAACTTTACTTATTACTATTAATTATTTCCATTATTAATTATATTTGTTTATTGTTTTATATTTATAACTACTTATTAATATATATTTTATTATAATTATTATTATTGGAATCACAATATACTATTATTACTATTTACTTATTATTTTAGAAATCACCTGACAACTGAAAATAAATTTTCCTTCCAAAGTCTGAAAGGAGTGACGTCTCGTGCACTGATCCACTGAACATTTCACAAAGCGAACGTCGCTAAACTCGCACTCGTCGACTTTTCGCTTCTCCTTTTATTATTGCGTTACTTTTTTGCTTTATCCTCATTATTATTATAATTTTAAAATCACCTTGTCATCCACGAAAATGGAGATCCGATTATTGGTGCAGACCAACCAAACTGTTGTCCAAAACTTTATAATAAAACTATTTTCATTTTATTTATACTTATTCAATATATAATTACATTTCCTAATTTGTAATTCAGAAATCCTTTTTTTAAAGTTTTGATTGCCACTTTTTCTTCCGGCTTCGGTTCCTTAAATAAAAATTTAATTTTTTTTTTAAATTGATAAAAATTAATTTCTGAATTTTACTTTAACTTTTATAACTTTTGGAAGAGTAATTTCCATGGTTGCTTGCACGCTGACTTCTCCCTTTAAATTCACCACCGTTTTAATAGGCGTCTCGCTCATTTGTAGGATTCCCACGATGGGGATGTCCCCGGAGCACACCGTCGAGAGCTTTTTATAAAGTTGAAGGAAAATTCTTATCAGAAAAATTCTTTGGTATATGATTTGGTACTTTGAGAAATCTTTTTTAGAAAAATGAGAACTTGTTATTCACATGTTGCTCTTTATTATAAAATTTGCTTTTTTAGAAGATTTATTTTTAATAAGTAGATGAAGATGGGTCAATCAGTTTTCACTTTACCCGTGCAACACCACTTGTTTACATAAGCGAGATTTTTTTTATTGAAAAAAAAAATTTACTTTGCTTTTTCCGAGCACACTTTCAAACTTTCCTTGTTTTCGTAGTATATTAAGACATAAAGGAGATTTCAGCGATTCTGGTTTTCTACATTATTTAGTAGTAAATTGTTTTAGTTATAAAATTATATAAAAAAATTATTTAAGTGAACTAATTTAAGTTTGGTGAGTTTTCTGAATATTTTTTACTATAAAAAAAATAATTGAATTTCTTTTTCCAAATAAGAAATCTATAAATTACAAATGAACGGCTTTTAGAGGTTTAAAAACTTGATTTTTCTGGTCTAATTCAAGAGGAAGAATGAAGGACTGATCGGAACGCACTTCGCAAAAAAGCAAATTTTTGTTTTTGAGTAAAGCTAAGCAATTTTAAAAACTATTAACATAATATAAAAACTTATTATAATTAAATGAGTTCTCTAAAAGTAGAGGAGTTAAATAAATTAAATTTTACACAAAATAAAAATATAACAAGTCAACTACTGAATGCACTTTTCAACCTTTTAAATTGGTGGCTTCCAGTTTAGTTACTAATTATTTTAATAAATTACTTTTTTCGTGTAGTCAGAGTCAAAACCTTTTACCTTGTAATGAAATCTTCTCTGAGTCCTCAATGCCAATAAAGTTTTTTTTAGATCCAACTTTAGAAGTTAACATTGAAATTTGACTGCTTTGAGATCCTTCTTTAGAAGAAACTTTCTTTTCTTTTAAAATCTAGAAATGTTTTTTCTTTAGTTCAATGAAATTACTACAAAACAAGATTTTTAAGTCGTAACTTTTACTCTTTCAAAAGGGCTAAGAGTAGCTTCAGCGGTGCTCATGGTAGCTAACGTTGGCTTTTTAAATTTGCTTCTATTCAAATTATCAGTATGAATTCTTCTTTTATTAATTATTTAAAAACGAATAAAATTAATTGAAACTTACAATTTATTTTCTATATGCTCTTTTAACGCTCTTAAGGTGTAACGGCGTTTACCACCTAACATACTTTATTTCCACCTGTGAATAAGTTAAAATTAAGTTGTATATCAATTGGAAAGTAATATTTAACAGTTATACATTCTGAATATATTTTTATTATATGTATACGCCTCATGTCACTTTAGAAACGGGCCAAACTGGCCCTATCGAGGCCATTAACTTATTAGAGAATGCCCTCGATATTTATACGAAGAGTTACTGCTTTGTGTTTCCCCTGCCTATTCCTTCAATTAGTAACAAAAAAAAATAAATTTGCAGAAGTTATGATCCTGTGTTTTCTAGTACTATTTACTACACAGTTTAACTTCTCTCTAAAATATTATTATGGATTTTAATTCTTGCACACGTATAAGAATTAAGGTGATTATATAGTATTAATAATAAGATATATTAAAAGTTCTATACACTTGGCTAGCAGAAACTTTTTATAAGCCGCAAATTGCATATATTAACGAGATGACATGCGCAGTACATCATATTAAGAACCCGACAACAAAATTCAAAGTAAAAAAGTGTTAATAAAAATTGATCAAAAGAAACCTTACCACTTAATCGTTAATATTTTAAATGGCAAAAAAAAAAGTTACAGAATTAAAATAATTGTTTATAAAGACACTTGTTAATATTATGAACTTTTTAGTTCTGTTTAAATAGTTGAATAGGAAAATATTATAATAATAATATAATTTATAAATAAAAGTAGAGTATTACCCTCAAACATTATAATACCTGCTTGAATCCACAGCCATATACTTTATTAAAAAAAAGGATTGTTGCCTTCTAGAACTTTCTCCATCGACTAAAATTTTTAATAGTAAGTAATCGTCCAAACTTATTCTATCAACCCTTCCAGATTTGTATCTTATCAGTTATTTTTTATGGAGATATCTTAATATGGATTTTTGCTTTTTAAATCAGCCGATAAGGTAAACAAATAGCTTCATACCTCTAAATATGTGTGCGTAATACATACAATCTTATAAATCCCAAAATAGTTTAGCTAAGTAAAGTTCAGGCAAAATAGCTGATAGGTAAGGCTTACTTATTTTTAAAGTATTTAAAAATTAGTTAATAGGCTACAAAAGTTTACAACCAGCCGATTTCTCTAAAATATTCTGATGTTACAAGTTAGGGAGTTTTAATAAAATTATATGTCGGTGCTACTTTCGTCTTTATAACTTTTAGTTATATTATTCGATATTTAAATTAAATTGTGGTACATTGTATTCTTACAAAAATTTGTTTATAAATAAATTATAAAACAAATAATTGCTCAAGTATTATAAATATTTTTTAAGTTTATCAGAATTTAGTTTATAATATTCTGGAAAACGTTCCACTTTATTTATTTCTCTTAGGATTGATTACATTATATTATTTATACGATTCTCAGTATTAACAAACAAAATGAATTCGCCTCTTAGTGGAGGAAAAATTGGACATCTAGTTCCTAGTGCTACTACGTTTAAATAGAAAAGAGAAGTAGTGCTTGAACAAAAGCTAAAATAAGAAGACTTAGTGTAAGGAAAGATTAATGAAGGCTGTATTGTCGTGGACTTCTTCCTACTGTTTGTGAATATTAAAATTAATAACACTTAATAGTATTTAATTAATAAAAGTTTTAAAGTAATAATTTGATTTTTTTAACATACTTGAAGTAGTCTTTTAACTATAACTTTCTTCCTACTCTCAGCTACCTTGCTAAACAGTTATTCAACGCAAAGCCTTAAGCGATTTTCATAGTAAAGGAATCTATAAATTGGACAAAACAAAATTAAATCTTTATTAAAAAATTTACAACTAGTTAGACCATTAGCCCTTCTTCGGTATAAAGATTTATTTATTTCATCAAAATTTATTGTTTATTATTATTAGAAGAACGTAACATTTATTATACAGTAAAGAATGTTCTTTTTATCATAAGCGCATATGCGAAATTCCCTTTTATATTTATATAGTACCTTTGCGTGCAGTACTCCACTACTAACATCACCTCTTCTGGTGTCGTATTTATTTAACTACCTTTATGTATACTGGGCTAAAAGAAGGTGACTCTGTTGACTAAAGTTCTTTTTTTCGTTAAGATTGCTGCTTGTGTTAGTTTGTTATTCGAGAAAGTGGGCTACTCCCTTTTGGAAGCCGATTTACAAAGTAAAATTTCTAATTTATTAGCTATTTTTTGAGGAAATTCGTAAGAGCTAATGTCTGAGGTTGAAGTAATAGGAATTTTAAAAACTTATCCTTTTAAAAAGGAGACTAAACGACGAAAAGAACTGACTGGAAATTCTTCTTCTACAACATAAAACGATAATCCTTACTCCGCTCTTTAACTACTATATGAACTTTGGAAAGAAGTTTTTGATGAAAGTGAAGGAAAGGCTTCTATGAAAAAAGGCACTATACTAAAATAATAACGAATACTAATAAATGCCACCATATGATAATAAAAATTATAATAATTATAATTCAGAAAATAAAGGGATTAGTAGTAATAAATTTAGTAATATGATACTTTCAAATAACCTTAATGACTAGTAATGCCACTAGAAACTAATTTAATGATAGTAACATTAATTTCAAAATTAGTAAAGACAAGTTATGCCTTTTAGAGAGCGCCAAGATAGCCATGACCTTGAGAGGGGCAACACTTCTCTAAATACCCGAAATACCTTTCTCAACAACGATCCACCTACCGCAACTACATCTCCTCTCAGGCGAAATAATAAGAACCCGTCTCTGGTTCTCTGCAGAAACAGAACTGAAAGCATTTTGTTATCTTCTGCTAACCCACGGTCGCTAAGATCCGAAGTCTAGAGCACGTCAAGAAACAGCAACAGCAGAAGAGTACCAAACAATCACTTCGCTTATACGTGATGAAGCGCTACCACCTATAACATCTGCCCGAGCACAAGCCTTTAAAGTTTGTTCTCCAGGGAGGCATGGGTACACAAAGCATCTCACATCTTCGCGTGAAAAGTATACACACTGAGGGCCCACAAAGCGATATTTACCAATGGTGTTAGTATATACATTAGGTATGACCGATTAAGCTGTTGAAATTAAAGACGGTTTTCCATATTCAAGTTAGGGTGGAAGTGCTCAGCAAGAGCCCTCGAGTTGGAAGAGTGCCACCGCGGCATGTATTTGGACTCGGCGCAATTTCTACTCTGCAACCCCCCGATGTGTTAGATGTGGCGAAGGCCACTTGACTGCAACAGTGCAGAAAAGTACGAGAAAGTCCTGCCATTTGTGCTAATAGAGGTGAAGCGCACACTGCCAACTATCGTGGTTGCAAAGATTATCCGTGAAGACCTACACCTCCAATCCAACTGCTTTACCAACACTTAAATAACAGACCTCTATGAGTGTAACTTCGGCGAATTCTTATGCCGCTCACTTAGCCTCGAAGATTACTTCTTAGACAATTCCCCAACAAACGCAACCAACATTTAACTGCTTTTAATATTGACGACAAACCTGTCAACAATGTTAGAGGCGGTGAGGGGTTAGGATTTACCTTTTCAATGGTTTTAGACCAAAAGCGCTCCCTATTCTTAACTAGCCAGGGATCCGTGTCGGCACTTACAGTTTACAGGCCCCCTAATAGACCATTTATTACCTCAGATTTTGATGCTCTCTTTAAAAATTGTTCCTCAAATACAAGCATCCCGCCTAGAATAGCCGTATCGGTAACCCAAACGCCAAATCCTCGGATCTCACACCGGCGAGCGGGACTGCGCGCCTAGGAGTTTTACGCACATGGAGAGGATGGGGATGAAGACCTATTATGGATATCGCTGTTTCGAATATTTACAATTCAACGTCTTTGAAAGCTCTCTAAGAACTCTAGCCGTAAACTCTGCCAGTTCTGCTGGATTTAATTCTTCGAGACTTTTGTTATAACCTTTCAACATCTTCCGCCTAACTCAGTCAGATTAGTTGGACAGATTTGGCAAGAGGACTTGCTTTACATATTGCGCGTTATAACCCTTTCCTATTGTTTTTTAGCACGTGATCTAATTTTAACTCAAGGATCGCGTCTTTGAAATAGGTTCGGGTGACTCGCGCGCTCATTCCTGAGACCACTAACGGCAGACGGTCCACAAGGATCTCTTCAACCACATCCACTCTTTGCGCTTTATGTACAGCGATGTACCGCAGCCTGACGACCTTTAGATAAGGAAGCCTTATATGCGGATGTTACGGCGAATAATTCCTCGGCAAAGTCGCCTGCCTAACTGCATCAGCATCTCCAGTACTACCTAATGACGCTTGATAGCTGGTGTCGTCGTTGAAAAAATACCATAAACGCTGAAAAGAGCAAAGGCCTTCTATCGCGTAGAAGCGCACTATACTACTACCGCCTCTGACCTCGAAAACAAGGTAATTCCTTAGTATCTTTCGGCAAAACACCTGGGGGTCATTTCTCGTGGCGGCCAAACGAAAACTATGTGGCGAAGGTTTAAACTCTTTTACCCTTCACTTTGTACCCGAAGCGCTTGTAGGTGTTGGTATCGGGATAAACGACATATGCATCTACTACATGGGTCTACGACCCACCGACAATAGTCTCTTCGCTTCAAGTGAGGTAAAATAAGCTGCTACGCCTTACGATGAGAGCGTCTTGCTTGATCGCAGTGACGCCTTAAATCAAAACCTCCAGTTTGAACCACCGGAAAACGTTTTCCGAAGCAATGTTATTACCGCCTCATGGGCTCAATCAGCGCACCAATCAAATTACTGGCAAATAAGGTCAATTAGGAAATCTGCAACGACACACGCTGTCGCCCACCGCGCAATGCACTCTAAATATATCATACGGGTTAGCGCTAGGGATTATTTTTAATATCAAAATAGTATACTAAAAATAACATCATTGTATACTCTACCATTATATAGATCTTTTAACAATACTATATATATATGAGGCTGCTTGAACCCAAGCTTAAAGTTAATGTGTACTAGAGTTCGTTGAACACTTTTTTCTTTACCACCCGTTCAAAAACCAGGAAATACCACTAATAATTGAAATAAAAATTAGCAATTTTGTATAGATATTTTTATAATATATGAGTTGATTACTTATTTATAACCTATTCTCATACCTAAAAACTCACCTATAAAATTTTTACGCTAAGCACATCCCCATAACTAAAAGGACTGCCAATAAATTAAAAGGTACAAGTTTTGCTCCTTTATATTGTATACATGCTCTTTCATTTTACAAGTTTTGAGCAACACCAAGCTAACGTAGAAATGGTAACCATCTGCCCAACCCGAGTAACGTTAAATTAGAGCACACAAATTTATATATATATATTATATATTTTACGTTTTCACATGCTACAGTTTTTATACCCCCTCCAACTTACATGATCTTTATCCCTCATTTAAAAGCTGATTAAGGATAGCTTCTTTTGCAATATTGACGGTCTTTATGGTATTCTTATATTTAAATCGTTTAATATATCTTTTTTTTTTTCGTATATAAATATTTATATAAGTTGGAAAGTGTCTCTAAAGCCGTTTTTACTTACCTAATTTAGACTTAAGAAACGTGCAGGAAGGTAGCTTAAAGTTCCTCATTGGTTTATATAGTTCTCAGCCGTTCGTTTAAGGTAAAGCAGAAATTATTTTATCTCACATCACAGTTTAAAGGGATTTAGTATATTTAAAGGTGCTCTGGTAAACAAGTTAAAGAGGTCCCAAGCTACAGATATGAGACTCATAACAGGCCTGACTATAGTTATAGTTTTATATTTAAAAAAAAAAAATTATTTTCAAAATTCTTTTATAAAGATATAATTATAAGCAAAATAAAAGTTTGACTAGAGAGCTTTAAGTTAAAAATGGGATCTTTTAAAGGAATAAAAAAACTCATCTTTAGGCTAATTGTTTTGCTGCGGTGTCTTTACTTTCGTGTACAGGACTAAAGTTAAGATGAAAACTTTTTTGTAAACTATATATTATTTGCAAGAAAAATGTGTATTAAGAAGTGGAACTACCTTTTTTCTGAAATAGTGTTATTACAAATAATTTATATAAAAATTATCCTCGTTATTTTAGGGTTTGAACAGTTACTGGGCACTGTTAATCTGCTTGAGAGATTCTTATTGCTCGATCTAACAAGTTTAAGTTAAATTTTTACAGGTCAGGTATGAATTTGCTTTTCAAAGAGAGTTAGAGGGGAGCTAACTTTTGTTGCAGTTTTTATAAAAATAATAACAGTTTTCTATGCTTGCTTATGTGCAAAGAACAATTTCACAATCTTTTAAAAGAAATCTGTTGACGGTGTGCTCGGAATGCTTGCTTTTTAAAAAATTAACGGGAAAAAATAAGTATCTTTTAAAAAATTGTTTCCTTTTAAAGGGAAGATATATATGTAACTGTAATTTATATGAGAAACTAAAACATATGAAAGTAAAAAGTTAAGTAATCTCAATAATAATCTTAAGCGATTAATTTAATTTTTATAAAAATAATATAATAAGCGCTTAACAATATCTACATATAAATTTGGTTTTATCAATTATCTACAGGTATAATCTTTGGGAATTATGAGCGGTTTGAATCAAATTTTTTAAAGCATAATGTTTTGAATGCTTTACATTTTTAGATATACTTCTAAATTATGTTTTATTAGATTCGCTGCGGTAATTGTTATAAGTTTGATGATTGAATAATTTTAAATTTTATACAGCGTACTATTTTTAGTGGTTAACAATATATATACTTTTCAATTTTTTATTTTATTAAATTCTCTGCAGTAAAAATTGCAGAGAAGTTTAGAGGTGATAGACTAATATTTGTTTTATAAATTCACTATTGTAAAAATCTTTGGAAAGTTTTGTGATTTTTACTAAGTTCTTCCCTTTTAAGTAAATAATTCAAAATAGTAAAGAGTGCATCCAGTAGAATCTTTGAACGTTCTTCAAAACTATAATGTGGAAACCGTGAACAATCGGATTCGTGCACAGCAGCCTTTAAACATTGATAAATCTGTTTATTAATTCGTTAAGTGAAAAATAATTAGTAATAGATTTTTAGAGCTGTTTGAATTTAGTTGAAGAAATTGTTTTAATAATTTAAATTAAAGTTAAATTTAAACATTCATATTCCCGTTTATAATTCTTTATTAACTTTTTTAATAGAAAAGGAATATTAAAAAAAATGAAACAAAATGAAGGAATACTACAAAAGAAGATCAAGCTTGAATATGATTTCAATCTTCAGAGATTTCTTAATAAATTTAAAATGTAAAATTTCTTTTGTTAACGTTTTTTTTTCTAATTATCATAAAATCTTTTGCCCGCAACAAAAGGCATATAGTAGCAGTAACGAAAAAACTTTATTCATAAAATTCCGTGCACACCTTTTTTTTTTTAAACAAATTTATTTGTTGCATCGTAACCAGCACGGCTAAGAAAATTGTGAGCCAGCCAGCGTGGTTACCGCGATACGAAAATTATTTATAAAAAAAATCCCATTTTGTTGGAATTTTGCAAAAATTACAAAAACCACATGGACGAGTGACACACGAGAGACTAAAAAATACTTACGTTTGTGGCCAGACGCATGATAGTTTCGCCACTATTAGTGTGGTGGACCTGCTCCATGGCCGACTGGCATTGGGCGATAATCCGCTGAACTATTTCGAGAGTGGCGATGTAGGCTTTATTATAGAGGCCGCAACGGAATTGTAATGTTCCTTCCGATCTTTTTTTCCCAAAAATAATAATGATATGATAGATAAAAATAAATAACCAAAAAAAGACACCTGGCCAATCGGACGGCTGCAAGAAGAGTGTCATCCCACCATTGGTCTAGTTCTTTATCGGTCAAAGGCTGCTCGGTGGGATGCTTGACAGTTCGGTGGTGCCGAAAAAGTTTGGGTTTGGATACTTTTGCGCCTTTGATATGTAGTAGCAAAAAGGATATAAATGTAATAAGTAAAATATAAATATATAAAAGTATTTATATTTTCATAGAAAAATAAAACAATATAAGTAAAAAGTTTATATAATAAACCGATTATAAAAAAGAATAAATAAAATATTACGATCAACAAAGAAACAAACAAAATAAAGCATGCTTAAAGTTTATATAATGCAACGTTATAAAAAATAAATAAAATACTATTATAAATAAGCACAAACAAAATAAAGAATGATGCTAGTATACACATTCATAAAATAAAAAAAAGTATAATACAAATAAAAATAAAAAATATATTTTCTCTCTTAAATATATTAAAAGGAATATTAATATAATAATAACTTATATAAAAAAATGTTATATTATTACTATTAAAAAAACTAAAATAAAAAGTTTATATTTTATAAAAAATTAAAAATTAAAAAACTTAAGAAAATGTCTCATTAAAAGTATTGTATTTCTATAAACAGAACAAATAATGAATTTTGGTAGCGCTTTAATTATAGATTTTTATTATTATACTATAAAATAGCTTAGAAGTAAAAGTACTGAAACACTTTTTATAAGAAATAAAAACTTCCACATAATTAAAAAGTTAACAAATAATAATCAAGTTTAATTGATTATAACTATTACAAATTTTATAATAAAAATTAATAAAAACAAAAACTTTTACTTTTAAAAAAAAGTTTTTTTTTGATTAATATTAAAAGTTATATACATTTAATGAATTCAGTAAAAAAATTGATAAATGGAGTAATATTAACGAATGAGAGAAACCGCTTATTTGAGCCAAAGTCCTCGTGTTAAATTCCGAAAACGAAAGTTTGGGCTTTGTTCTTGGAATGTGTTGAGATGGCCTTGGTATCATCGTTTTATTACGCTTCGAACCTTCTTTTAAAAAATGTAAAAGGAGAAAAGTTAATATAAAGATATAAATAAGTATAATATGTATACATATTAATATAGAAAAAGTATAATTATTAATAATTATAATATTTGACTTTATATATAGAGAAGTATACAAAAAATAATTATAAATATTCTACTTTACAAAATAGGGGAAAGACATAAATAAAAATAGTTATATTTTATTTTATAAAATAATTTATATAGAAAAGTATAAATAAAAAATAATTATGAATAATTTACTCTATAAAAAAATTAATCAAGAAAAAATATTAATAAAAATAATTTTAAATATTTTCCTTTATAAAAATATTAATATAGAAAAGTATAAATAATAATTTACTTTATAAAATAATATTAAAAAAGTATAAACAAAAATAAAAATATTTATATAAAAAATTTTAAATAATAATCATATATATCTCATTCTACAAAAAAATTTATAGAAAAGTATAAAAAAATTATAAATAAAAAAATTATAACGCTTTATTTAAAAAAATTATTAATATATAATAAAGTATAAATAAGAAATACTATAATATTATTAAAAAAAAATAATTAATATAAAAAAGTATAATAAATATAACTTTACTATTTCGCTATAGAAATATTAATAATATATAATAAATATATAAATAAGACTCATCATAATATCACTTATTGTAACTGTTTATATAGAAAGTATAAATATAAATAATAATAACATTTTTTTATAAACTATTTTTAAAAAAAGTATTAATTTAAAAAAATATATATACAAAAATATAAATATTTCACTTTTAAAAAGTATTAATATAAAAAAATATATATATAATATTGATAATATTATTTAACTAATAAAACTTTAATGATAAGTAAAGTACACATAATAATATTTTTACTTGAAAAACTATTCATATAAAGGAAAACCATTAAAAATATAATTATCGTATAAATAAAGTATAAAGAATAGTTATAATAATTTACTCAAAAAACTATCACTATGAAAGAATAATAAATATAAATATGAAAATAAAAAAGTATAATAAAAATAATAAAATTATTAACTTAAAAAACTTTTCATATAAAGAACTATTAATAAAAATAATTATAAAAAACTTTTTATATATATAAAGTATATACGGAAAAAAATTATTATTTTTTTATCAAAAAAAAAAATTCAAAAAATAAAATATTGAGTTTGTATATATATTTTTTCTTATTATTATTATAATTATAATTAGTATTATTTTTTGTTACTTTTAATTTTCAATATTGTCAATGATATTATTATTATAATTAGTATTAATTTTTTTATTACTTTTTCTATTTTATTACAAACGATATAATATTTCTCTATATTGTTAACTTCTATATTTACTACTTCTCTTTATTATTATAAACGATATTATTTTTATTATTATTATCTTTTTATTTATTTCATTTTTTAACTCCGATCCCCAAAAGGGAGGGACGCAGCGCAAGCAAAACTCGCATTGCTATGGACGTATAAAGTCCCAGCCGGGTCCTGAAAGCCAAGCGAATGGTTAATAATAGGGGGAAAGGAGGGTTTCTCGCAGAGAGAAATAGTTTCGGAGAAGCAAATGTCGTGAAACACGTCCTGGCAAGCTGATTATTTTTTAATGAATTTAGTGAAAATAACAATTAAAAGAATACTTTGGCACTGCCAGCCAGCTTCGAATTCGTCAAAAGGGTCCGAACAGGAGGCGCAGTGTACAGTGGGCCCCGGGGTTACTTTATTGCAGCCGTGCTTATTTTTATGAACTTGCGCAACAACGGGAGTCTATGAGAAAATATATATATATATATATATCAGGAAAAAAAAAGTGTCTTCCTAAAAAAAAGAGAAAAAACAACAACTATTCATAAGCCGTGTTTATGGGACCTCATTGGGAGCTCCATTATTAGGTTTGGTGGGGCCTTCTATTGGGTAACATGAGAAAAGCGACCAGCTAACTGGTTTGTGTAATAAATTACCGCCCAACTTCCTGATGGCCAAAAGAAGCTTTCGCCGGTCGCCCAAACTGTTGATCCCGATAATACACAAATCATTGGGGGTCAGTGTAAATAAGACCTGGAAGGAACAGACCCGTGAAAGCCCGAACCCACCAATAAGAGCGGGCGAATAATATAGCACTTCGCCGGTAATCCGTTGGCCATGGAACTTGTCGATAATATGAGACATGCCAACTTCTTCTAGCCAATCAAGAACTTGCCATTCATCCCAAACTGCCGGAAAAGGCAACAGTATATGCGGAGACATGAATATTTAAAAAGTCACGTGCGTGTAGGCTTAGCAGAGCGGCCGCGTGGAGATGGAGTTTTACTAGGCGGAGGAGAAGTTGGCGTTTCAGTAGCTTCTTCTGCAAATGCGCAAAAAATAGTGAAGTCACGAACACTTCATAAACTGGCGGACGACCTTTCCGAAAGTTTTTAATCTGGCTAATCACATTGTCGAAATCTGGTCGCTGCTTGGGCTTGCGAGCCCAACTTGGATAAAAAGTTAATACACCAATCAATAATTGAGGCCAGCAAGCAACCAGCCATTCACAAAGCTCATATTCATAAAAGAACGCACCATTGGACCATCAGCTCGTAGTAAAAAGGAACGTTCTCCTCGTTGATTTCCGGTCTGAAGTCTTCCGAAACTGTTTTATAACAGACCGCATGGGGTAGGAGACCCTCGAATGGCTACTGGTTGAACAATAAATAAGTCAATAATTCAACCAGTAGGATGGAAGGTAAAACCTGCTTTACATTATTACATCTCCCAGCAAAATACACAAAAAACAAGTATGTCAGTTTGTTGGGGGTGTGAGCCCTATAGAAGTAGAACCTTTTCTCTGTAGTAAAGCTCCCACAGTATAATCCCGAAAGAAAACACATCCACTTTGCGCGAGACGCGCTTGCCTCGGTGGACCTCCGGCGCCTATTAAACGAGAATGCGCAAGGAATTCACTAAAAAAATAATGAAAGTAGATAAACTAAAACTGTGTAAAAAATAGTTCCTCCGCCGCGATTGGTTATAGATTTCGTGTAGGCTTCTGATATTTTAGACAAGCCAAAATCTGCTACCTGTAATTCATAAAAAAATAGGGAAAAAGTATTCGTTGGTATGAAAAAATCGCAACAAGCATTATAAATAAATATAATTCAAAATATGCAAAATTCCAAGAGAAATATAAGAAAAATGGGAAAGAAATCAAAAAAAAGAGTCCAAAAGAAATTTAATTAATAAAAATTTATCAACCCCTTCGTAAAAAATTTGTTACTATAATTTAATGAAAAATTTTAAAAACGTAATATTATTCGCGTATACTAAAAAATTCCTGCGCGAATATCATTTTTTTCATGTATTTTCCTAGCATTATTTTATCTGTAAAGCAGTATTAGAATAGAAAAGTAAACTTTTCCACCAGACACACGGCCATGCTGAAGGGCACGTGAGTATCATTAAAATCCAACGCTTTCTTTATTTTTTTTTCGTCATTCACAATGTATTTAATGAAAATAATTCGTAAACGCATAACTTTTATAAAAAAAGTAATATTTATAATTTATTTATATAATTTTTAATGAAAATAAAAAAAATTTCTTTTAGTCCCTCCTTTTATATACGTATTAATATCAAAACCTTTAACTTTAAAAAAAAATAATAACTTTTCTTCAAGAATTATGAAAACAAATTAAAATAATAATAATGATAAATTTTGTTTATACTTTTATTCACTATAATACATAATACCCACCTTACAAACATAACTTTCTGTAACGAGAACATTAGCGGGAGTCAGATCCAAGTGGATGATTCCTATTCACAAAAAAAAAGATAAAGTTTGACACAGATATTTTATGAATATGACTATTCTCAAAAAAAATAGTAAAGTGGGGTGCGAGCCAATAATAAAGAACTATAATTCTCGGTAAAGCGTGCCAATAATATTATATATAAAGCCGAATGTTTAAAAATATCGATATTTATTGAATTCAATAAAAATTGGTTTTACCGTTATGATGAAGATAATTCATTCCTCTTGCAATGTCAAGAATATACTTTAAAATCCCTGTTGGAAAAATAAGGATAAAAGTGGGAAAGTTTCATTATTTTTCGTGCAACGTAATAAACAATTTGTAGAAACATTATTTAAGTATTAAAATTTCTGTTGATAAAAAAAAGTTATATAATAATTCATGTAAAAAATTAAAATGCTTCATTCTTTTTCCTGCAAAGCAATAAACAATTTGTTTGAATATTTAAATACTTTCAACATTAAAATTCAGCTTCCCGCTAATTTTATGATGACAATAAAAATAATGAAAATTTACTTTAATGTAATTTTTGGAGGTATCGCTGTTTTATTTACTGCTATTACAGTTTCATTTACTTTACAAGAACATGTATTGTATATTTTATTATTTTTATAAATTAATTTTTTTTTTTTTACTCTATACATGTAAGTATTAAAATATTGATTCGTTTCACTATTTTTATTATTTTCTACATTTTATATTATGAAAATAAAAATTATTATAGTTCTCACTTTTTTAAATTTTTCTATATTAATAATTATTATAACTTAAATTTATTTTATAATTTATTATTATTTCATGTTACTCGTATCATACTAAAGGTTTTTAAGTACTTATATTTCAGCTACTATTACAAATTTATTTCTTATATGGCCTATAAATTATTTAAATAACAAAAATTTAAGCAATTATATTCATTATTATATATATATATATATATATATATATATATATATATATATATATATAAAATTGTACTACTAACAATTCTCAATATAAAGCTTTTTATATAATAATGTTCCTTAAAATAACATTTATTATTAATATTTACTTTATAATATGTGCTAAAGTAAAAGTTTGCATAAAAACATTACTAGTTTTATTTAGAACTTCATTTTTGTTATAAATCAATTCCTGCAAGTTTCCCTTTTCAATATATCTTCATATTGACAGTAATTGTATATAATGAAAATAATAAATGCAGTGATGTACTCTGTTACGATGCACATGGGATCCGGCGGCATCGTCGCCCCCAAAAATAATACACAGTTCGGGTGCCTCACGCGTCTTATTAGTATAAATATCTTTCATTACTTTCATAGTTATGAATACCTTATCACGTTTTTCTATATTTTTATGATAGTTCTATTCATAAACTATAACAATACTTCTATTTTATTGTATATATAATGTATGCTCATTAAAAACCTCATCACTTGCAGCTCATTATAAAAACAAGCTTTATCGGAAATGGAGATAATCAGCTGCTTAATGGCTACGGGGGTTTCATGAACACTCCCTTTGTAGACGACTCCAAAGCCGCCTCGGCCAAGCTTAAGAAAAACAAAGATGATAAAATTGTGAAAGACGAATAATTCTTCGATTTTATTTATGTTCTTTTTTCTTTAAAATATTCAAAAATAAAAACAATAAATACTATATTATTTGTAGAATCTAAATATAACTGGTTAGCAGAAAATAATAATAAAATTAAATACTTTTTTATATTAAAAAAACAAAATAGAATGAAGTTGAAAATAAATCAGAATAAATATTTTAAAAATATATAAGGGTAAAGTAGCAAAATAATAATGTAAATAAAATTTAAAAAATTAAAATGTCTATAATTATTATAAAGAAAAAAAATAAAAGTAAAGATAATAAAATAAAGAAAATGTTTAAAAACATGAGATAAAGTCAAATGCTTATAAATTTAATTAATGATTTAAAAATAATTTATGTATTTTTATATAAAAATTAAAAGAAAATTAAAAAAGTAAAATAAATTAAATACAAAATACTTTATCGATAAACAAAATCTTATAATGTTAAAGTCTTTACAAATATTTATTATTAAAAAATGGACTAAACTAATTTATAAATAATAATGTTCTTTAAAGATAAATTAAAAAATAAATAATAATTCAGTTCTAACTTAAAGAAAAATAATCAAAAATAAAAATGTAATAAAATTAAATAAACTGGGCCAAGAAAAAGAAATTTTATATATAAAAGCAAAAATTACAAAAAAAAAGTTAAAGTAATAACGAAATGTTTATAATTTATAATAAATCCTTATTTGCATTTATTAATAAAAATGAGAAAAAACACACAACTATTTTCTATATTTTTCTTATAATAAAAATCTTACGAACCTCTAGGGAAGGTACTTATAATATTAATCGCTTTGAGAGTAAATATAGTTATTAAAATTACTTTAGAGCAGAATTTAGTAGGTATACAAATCGCTACAGCGGCGTTAAAAAAGGAAGTAGGATACAGAAAATACTGTATTCTTGTAGCTTTACGTCTTTAATTAAGCTGAACTTCTCTATTAAATTGAGAAGTAGTGAAATTTTCTACTGAAAGAGTAATCCAATAAACTAATTTATAACCAGTTATTGCGGAAAAATATTTAGCCCAAGTAAAAAAAAGTTAGCGCTATAAAATTATATTTATTAAAAAAAAAAGTAGAAAGGAATTGGAATTAAAAAAAAATTAGTAATGAAGAAAAAGAAAAGTCTCTAATGTACAAAAATAAGTTACACGTTTTAAAAAATAAATTTACTAATAAATTTAAATTTTCAGATTAAAATTTTTATTAATTCTATAATTCAAAACCTCAGGACCCAAAGTTAAATCTTCATACTTAAGATAAGTCCCATCCCTTAAGTATTCAGATATTCGATCTTCGAAAAAATCAAAACAATCATCCTTTATGGCGGCGTTGACATCAGGATTGTCTTATAAACACATTAATAAATTTTTTTAAAAGGCAATATTAAAAAAAAACATTATATTTGACTATAAAGGCAAATTTTAAGAAGATTTAATTTGAAATAGAAAATGTAATTGAAGCTAAAAATCTGTTTATGGCACACAGTTTCATGTAAGAAGCATACGCTTATTTTTATTTGATAAACACAAGTCCAAAAAAAGTTTGTTAATATTAATAAATAATACCCGCTTGTAAGGAGTCAGAAACAGTGACGTCACTCAAAGAAGCGGGATTGGAATTAAACAATCTAGGTTTCTGGATGTCTTTCATGTTTATTTTTAAGAACACTTTTTCAAAAAGTTTCTTTGTTAAAATAACTAATTTTTATGTCCTCTTAAGGGAATTTTAACTAACAATAATTTATTGAAAAGTTTCTTATTTATTATAACAATTTTCATTCCTCTTATAGAATTTTTACTTCCATACTAGAAAAAAAAGAGACAACCCCATTACAAACTTTTTCTGTTGCAACACAAGTTAGCTAAAGTATGTAAAAATACACAAAAGAAAAAATAAATTAACTAAAAGGCTTACTAAATTTTGTAAACTAAAAGAAGCAATATACTACAGTCAACGGGCAAAATCAAAAAGCGAACAGGTATACAAACAGCGACAAGCTCTGTCAGTATCAACAATTTTAGTGCAAGGAAGTCCACAATTTTTTGAGCGAAGTTATTGGGCACAAGAAACTGCCAATTTACAACAATTAAGAAAGCCCACTACACAATTTCTAAATTTACAAAGCTTCGTCTTTCTAAATGTAGCACAAAAATCATTTGTTTTGTAGTGTAACATTATTTTTTATATACAAAATAAGTTTATCTTTTTAGACGTTTTCATAATTATTTGGAGAAGTTTCTGGGCACAAACGACCCCCATCTTAAAATGTTAAGGACTTCTAAACTAAAACTATTTTACAAAAAAGTCATTTCTACTTTAGCACGAAAATTGTTAAAGGCAGTGAAAAACTATATTAATGTGTATAATTATTTTAGAAATACAAAATAATTAAAAAATTTATTCAAGGAAAAGCGTAGAAAACTTATCTATAAGGTTTTAGAAGGAAAAAATTCGTGTTAAACTAACTAAAAAAATATCAATAACTTGGGTTTGTTAGCTCTAAAAAGTATTCCAATAAAACTCAAGTCATTTTTGTGGTAATACGCTTTAAACTTACTGTTTTAATGAATATGAGCCCTCCTATAAATAGGATCTAATCATAAAAGGTAAATTTTAAAAATGCTTAAAAAATTAATTATTTAAGAAAAAAAAGAACTAAACAGGCAAAAGCAACTAAAATTGCAATAAAATTTAACTCTTCTGTTAAATGATAGGAGATAATGTAATTTCTGGTTTGTAATAACGATTAGTAAAAGGGCGTAATTAGGGGAGATAAGTTTAAGAAGAGCGTTGATAAAATAACTATCGTAAAGAGCAGACGAAAAGGTATAGCAGAGGCGTATAAAAAGAAAATATAAAGCTTTTACTATACTATAAGAAAGAAAGGTGAACTGAGAATTACACTTCATAAGAATTATATCTAACGATTAGTGAGATGAGCAACAAAACTTAAACAGTGTACGTTGTAGTAGACATGTTTGCTGAATAAAGAAAACCCTCAGCCTTTATCGCTTCTAAACTATTGAACGAACACACACTATCGGCAAGAAAGTTTCGCCTGTCGGGAGATGGCAAAAAGTCCTAATTGTCTAATTTTGTTTACCTTAACCGCTTCGGAGTTATCATTTTTTATCAGCACTTAGCTTGGCTTCTCACTGAGTATTTTCAGTTCATCAGGTTCTTAACTAACTTGTCAAGTAACTTTCTAGAGTTTTTTAATGCATTTATTTTAAGTATAATATTTTTCTTTGTTTTATTATTATTATATAGTGAAATATTCGTCGTAACATTTTATTATACCTTCATGTCAAAAAAAACTGTTATATTATTATTATATATAAAATATATTACTTGTTACAATTTTTCATACTTTTGCTTGTCTTTTTTAATAAGTTTTTACCTTTTAAACAAATTTTTTATTTAGAGATTATTTTTCGAGATAAGTTCCTATACTTCCGCTGTTAAGTTGCTTTACTAAAGCTCCTTGGAGCTATGTTCATAGTTTTTATAATCTTAAGGGAAAGCAAGTTAGTGGTTAGATGACGAGTCAGAAATTTAAGTCGGGCAGTACAAGTTCTGCAAGGTAGCCACACTTATTCTTATATTGGTTGAGCCCAATGAAGAAGAAAGTCTACACACCACACCCCTTGCTCTTGGTTTCTAAAAAAAAAAGTTTTGTCATGGTAGTCGGCCACGTATGCGCACATCGCATTATTAACGTTCGCGTCTAGTGCAGGCTACAAAAAACTAAACTTAATGATTACATGGGCTAAAAGGCAGTTGTACCATCGCAAACTTAGTGACATTAAGGACTCGCCACGCCCATGAAAAAAACAACTTGAATAAAAGGTGGATAATGTTAGTAAACCCCCAGTCGCAGAATATTATCCCACGAAATCAAAAAAGCTAAGGATAACCATCTTTCATATTGTGTAACTAACACCATTACACTGTCTCGGGCATGCACAAGGTAGCTATTGGCCACGTGACGGATAAAACCTTAATCACGCAAGCGAGCTTCTAGTTTGACAGCGGAAAATTGCCCGACATTAAACTCCCCTTTTTTTGTGCGGCTCACCTGGATTTAGTAATACTATTTTTTAGCAAGTATAACGTGCTTTTCTACTAGTAAAACGGAATGGTAACTAAAAATAAATGGACGTGTATGCCCAGTAAAAGAACATAACTTATATTAAAAAAATACAAGAGGACACTACTAAAGCTAACCAGTACAGCTGCATAGTATAAAGTAATGCAAGCTATATAGCTTGAAGCTCGAACTACAGGTTTAACCACTGGCCACGAGCTTTAAAGTCAGTGCCGTCGCCCATTACGGACAATTTTTCGCGGAAGAACTCACGGTCATATGGCGCCGCACGATAATGTCGTGGTGGTTGGATGCTAACTTAAGAGTTCGAAGCAAAGGCGGAAAACGCATTAATAAATTTAAGAATAAAAAATTAACTTGCACTTATAGGAACTAAACCTATTTGAGAGCTCTAGTATTTGAAGTTGTTATCTGAATCGAACATTAGGCAACGTTACATACAACTGAAAAAAAATAGATAAAAGGCCTAAAGTGGTGGGAAGTGATGGCGTTAACTCCCATTTGACTTTACAAAACTTAATTTTTCCTTAGCTAAGTTATAATTTTCTTAACCCTAGACCACTCTAAGGTTACTTCTTACGTTTTTTTTAAATCTGGTTATAATGAAAAAGTTTAAAAGGTTGACATTAACCGAACGTTATAATATGTGGTATAATTCCACAAATATTTATCTGGTGCCGAACTACTGATAGTCTAAATCAGGAGGAGGGTCACCACTTGTTCCTTAAGGCAGAATAAGCGCTGTAATTTAAACCCGAAGAATTGAAAAAATTGTTTATAATTTAATGTCAGTACTAACCCCCCCTTCTTTAAACAATTTCAATACTAGAAACGTTATTGGAACATAAATCTAGTGAACGACATTACCCAAGCATCCACGATTCCTTGCACCACTTATTAAATAAAGAATTTTTATTTATTCAGAATTTAAAAAACTATTACTAATAAAGTTTTAATGAGTCTACTGTAATCATACTTAATTTAGACCAAGAGGTTGTTCGGATCGAAAAAATAACTATAAATCCAAAAGCATGTCAATATACGTTGCTTTTACAGCAACAATTATTTCTTCAGCTTTCTAATTAAAAAAATATTGCGGAAAAAAAGTGTTTATTTTAAAAAAAGAGTGGTTATCTATTGATCTTCTATTAGTTAGTGGTACAGTAAGGGTAAAACGAGGAGGGCTAAGTGCTGGAGGTGTTTACCACAGGAATTGGATTTAAAGCAACAATACGGGTAAAGGGCTAATTTGTTGAACTATTTTCTCAACTGTTGATCTTACAAACTTGATAACCTTCAACGACTAATATGTTATAAACAAGATGAGAGTAATATGTTACATTATATCTCAAAGAAATATAATATAGAGTTAGTTAAAATTAAGAAGAGCTGCATAATTTATTTGATTGCTCTGTAGCCTCTTGAATAGCACATCGCTCACCACCTAACAAACTGACAAAATACAACAACGACCAAAGAAAGAAAGAGCGGGACGTTCACGACATCACTTTAATGTCTAATTAGAGTCGTGCTCTCAGACCTTAATTACATATAACGCAAACGGAATATGCGACTCTTTTTGAACAAAGCAGAAGCCTTTGCTATGTTAATTATAAAAAATTTTAATTTTCGAATGAGCGCCTCAGACCCTTTTATATGATAAAACTGTTTCCTCTAGAATCGTAAAGCCACACTATGTCGATAATATCTTTAAAATATTAACATTACTTTCGCTTAAGAAAGTCCCGCAAGCCTTGCGAAGTTGTACTTACTAATATTTTATAAAGCTCCTTTTAGCAGTCTTAAGAACTTAATTTTTATTATAATCGAGATCTTAGAACTGGCGAACTTTCTTCCTCTGTAATATTCTACTAAAACTTTATTCCTTATTAAAAAAGATAACTGGAATAGTTATTTTACGTAAACTTAATAAGTTGGGCTTAAAGGAATTATTCTATAGTTACAATTCGGTTTTTAAAAAAATAGTAACACGTTTAGAGTAGCTAAGGATATAATGGGAACCTTTAACGGAAAGCGAATGTCTATAATCGTTTTGCTAGACAACAGAAAGCTCTCGATCAGGTATGATGCTCTGGATTCTATACAGCATAAAGGAGTTTTAAATTATTTTTAAGATTAACTTTATGACATAAAGTTACCTTTACCTTTTCCGGTGCCGGGGTTTTTTAAAGCTTTATCATATTTCCGTTCCTTTTTACATTTTTACAGTAGATACCCGTTTATAAAATACACAACCATTTTCCAAATAAGTTGGTGACACTGACTTTCTTGCACTTAAAATCTGCCTAGTTTATTGTTAAGAAACCCATTCTTAAAAATTTTATTAGTTCAGTAAAAGTCAACAAGAACAAAGCTATCCACAAAAAGAACAAACGGCCCGAACACTTACTAATTTAAAAGATACTATTGTAAGTAGAAGAATATTTATATTTGAGTGTCATCATATATAAGCTTCTTAGCTAATAACTTTACAATAATAACTTTCTACCAAAGATAAGAGCTGCTATACTTCAGTATACATATCTACACGAAAAAAGCAAGCTCAGTCCTTTGCAATCAGATACAGAAATTTTAGAACGCTTAACTAAAAAATATTTTAGCCATGCATATATTATGCTAGAAAAGCCTACTTTAACTGTAATCCTTAATTATTTTATTAACGCTTTTACTTTTAAGCTTTATACAAGTTTCCTTAACCGGTTTAGATGAATTTGCAATGACTATTTTCACGGCCCAACTTAATTTAAAAAAACTTTAGTCGTTGACTTGTTTCTAATTATTCCTTACCTTTGAGGCTATAATACATTTTGTTCGTTTACTGTTTTCCAGTCATCTACTTTTATTTCTTATTTATCGATTTAATTTTTAATCCCTTCCCAAACAGATTTTTAATTCTATTATAATCTTAAAAGGCTTAAGTCTAGAACTACTAAATCTAACAGGCCTCACTATAGTATATTTCATAGCGAAATGAAACCTTTTCTTCCGTTGTTTCTTTGTTGACCATCTTACATTCCCAACGTTTTTACTGTTTGAGATTATCAGTTTTATATGTTTATGAAGTTAGCAATTATGTTATACTAACAACTAAGAAAATAGTTGACATTTGAAATATCTTTTCTGTTATGGTGGTCAAATTCAGGCTCTTTTTTTTTATGCTAAATATATATTCAGTAATTATATTTATTACAGGTACCGTGTTTCTTAAATTAAGTCTTTTAAGATAAATTGAACTACGAAAGTAAAGAACATATACTTTTTTATCTTGTGCTATTCGTAATTTATTCAGTGTTCTTGTAAATATTATTTGAATTCATTAATTGTTTTCTAAAAGAACTAAAAGTTTTTGTAAAACTTTATTGACTGGCCTACAGTTAACTTTAATACAAACCATATCTATTGCATCTAAACAAAAAAAACTATTAGTAAATCTACCCCAGAACGTAAAAGTTACAAGTTTTCTTTTTTTTTTTTTACAGGAAATTCTGTTTTGTCGAGGAATCAATAATTTTCTGCTCAATCTTAAATTTAAATTACCAGCAGTCAAAAGCATAACTAAACTTCCCTTAATAAAAATTACGGCAAATTTACCGTTTTAAATAAAGGTAATCTTCAAGGTGTGAAGAAAGTTTCCAATCCATAATAGGGTGTTTACATATTTTCAGATAAGCAAGCCAAATCATAGAAAATTTTGTATACTTGAGTTACAATTTTTAAGGGTTTTTTCACCTAAAAACGAGATCCCGTTTAATAAATTTAACTCTCTTAAGGTTGTCACAATTCTAAAAACTATTAATCTTGAATAAATTAAACAAAATACCTTTATAATAAATTTTTTCAATTATGCAATGAAGATTTTAACTATAAATTTGTTGGTTATTGGTATAAAAAATTCGTATAGATACTACAGTTTACAATAGAAAAAAGTTAATAAAGTTGGACGGTAAGCCTTAGTAAAAACATTAAGTCTGCAAGGCGGGAAATCGGAAATCAAAAAAAAAAAAAAATTTATTAAAACTATGTTTTTTTAATTTTAGTAATCGTCATCGTCATCGAAAAGGCCGCCCACATCGAAATCTTCTTCTTTTTCCTCTTCTACTTTACTTTCTTCTTCAGTCTCTTTAGTAACTGTTTGTGCAGCTTGTGAAGGAACTAAAAAAAAATGATAATATAGTAATGCCTATAAAAAATGGGCTCAAATAATTAATTTCACAAAATCAGTCTGTCAGAGGTACAATAATCATAAAAGATCATTACAGAACTTACATCAGTAGTGTTAATGATATTACTTTTATAAATTAATATAAAAAAAACCTGACGAGGGTAAAGAGGAAGGGCCAGAGGAGATGCTATTAATTAAATTTTCAATGTTTTCCGTTGCCAAAAATTCAGCAAACTTCGAAAACCAATAACCTACAGAATCAAACAAAAAAGATTATTTGCATTATATGTTTATATATTCTCAACTAATTATACCCTCAACGGAAACATTTGCTGCATCGCATAGTTTTTTCATATTTTCAGCGGAGAGTTCAGCACCCCCATCGTGTAATATAAGAGAAGAATAAACAACCGCAAGCTCCGCCATTTTTTAATTTATTCTAATATAAAATAATAAACTAAAATATATTCCATATAACAGCAATTTAATAATAAAAATTGAAAAAAAAGGTTTACCAGAACCCTTTCTAATAAGGCTCGCAGAAAATTAGAAAAAAAAAAGAATAACTAAGGAAGAAAATTCTACTGGAACTCTTAATTTAACGTTTTCTTTTTCTATTTATATCCAATCCAGTTATACTCATGCGGCTTTTGAGTTAGCAGGCTACTCGCTTATATATAGAAACGGGGGAATATCACATTACTTATTGCTTTCGTTGTTCTTGCTTTTCTCCTCCCTTCGTCTTGTACTCAAGTATTTTCCGCTTGTTTGGATTATGCACGATTTTATTTAATAAATCCGACTACTTTATTTCTCCTAGCAGTAAGTTTTAGTGGACAAAATTTTCTTAAGTAAACATTTTCCGCTAATAATTTTATCAAACAGGTTAAAATAAAAAACTTTCGAGTTTTTACTATCTACAATTATTTATTATAAACATAAACACTACTTATAGTAAAATACTTTTAAGAATATTTATATGCATAATATGGTAATAAAGTTGAATTTTTATAAGGCTCTTGATTTAATGTGTCAGAAATAGATTTTCAAGATTTATAAGCTTCGTTTGTCTTACTTGGCTCGAATCGTTTATTTACAATAAATTTTTCTTTTATACTTATTTTAAAACATAGTTGTACTAAAGTTTACCATGTTAAGTGTTTTTTAAAACATAATAATTAGCACAAACTACAGAATATGTCAGTTCCACTTCCTTTAACTATTTAAAGTTAAGAGGTGTTTTCTGATTAACCTACAAGTCACATCAGCTATAAACCTAATATTAGTTTTGGACTATATCAGGACGCAATACATATTAATTTTTGAATATTATAAATACATCACTTAGCTACGTAGAACAATCTTTGATTACTATAAGCTCAGCTCTTGACTTAAACTTAAGTTAGTTTATTTAAATAAAAAGAAGTGAAAAACAACCAAAGACCTATACCTTTTTCAAGTTTAAACGCACTTATGCTATTATTAAAGTAAACTATACAGTACTCTTTCCGTCAAAACGGGCTTTTGCAAAAACTCCGCGAGGCTGCAAGCAATAAGTTAGTTGACGTTTTAAGTACTTCCCTTTTGCACCGGTAGTAAAGTTTAAGTTTTACGCCAGCTCTTTCTGCAAAACAGAATGTCTTTTGATAACTGGCCTGCTATATATAGTTTTCCTCCTTTTTTTACTTTACAACCGAACTCACAAACAAAAGAGAAGCAATTGGCTAGTTGGCTGGAATTGGTTTTAGCCTACTGCAAAACTCGTAAACTATCAAGGTTTAACTTAAACAACGAATCTGAAAGTGAACTGTTTTTTAACGATAAGATCTCCCGTAAGTTCAAGTTTTATGCGGTGAAATCTTATGTTGTGTTTTACTCTCTCGAAACTACTTTAATGGTATTTCACGTATGTTATTATTTCAGGTAAGTGTAGTTCTGAGTTACGTTTGGCAATCTTTAAGTACATGGAAAGTAAAGGTCACCATTTCTTAAAGGACTATTCTATTCTTTATAAATTTTATGCGTTTAAACATATTAAAGGTTATGCTATCACCAAAAACGATAAAGATTTTATAATTTCTTGGTTAACTGTGGAAGACTGGGCAAATAATATTTATAATTACGTTCTTTTTTTCTAAAAGTTTTTTAAATTTTATAAAAATATTCCTTTTTTTTCCAAAAGATTAGGAACACTAACCAGTTTAACAGTATTTTAACTTTATACGAGCTTCGTTGTGGAGACTACACTGCTAACGAAGGTACTCTTTTTTTATAGAGTATAGAAAGCGATATTATAGTATATTAAATAATAGAGTTTCACGGATTAGAGCTAGAAATTTTAAAGGCGGCCTTGGAATTTCTTGAGAAAACGTTTCGGTATGACAATTCTGAGAATTTAAATTAAAGCATTAACGTTGAATTTATAAAAAAGATGTCAAATATTTTTTGACGAATCTGGAGAGAATGCAGGCGTAAAGTTTTTAGCAACCTAATAAAAGTAATAAAACTCCAATCTATAAAATGAACATCTATCTTTGCTAGGTATAAAATAAATTGCACGATGGGAAAGAGTAAATTAAATAATTTTATAAAAGCGAATCTTTATGTAGAATTGTTCTACAAGTCTCAGTTCACAAGCAAAGCTCGGCTATGAATTTCTTATATAAGAACATAAACTTTGCTACGAAAGCCTCTAGATGGTATATTTGCTTCGTGCCTGTTTTGATTCTGTGTTCGTAGAAGGCGGCCCTTGAAAAAATAGCATAAAATATAAAAGTTATTAGAAAATAAGAAAAAAAAATTCTCTTAACTTATTAAATTTTCAGTAATTATACAAAATCACTATTATTATTCTATGACAAATTCTTTATGCCTTCCTGCTAAAATCTCAACAATTATAATTTTTAAAGGAGTTACCAGTTAGTGATCTCCGCTTTTAAGGAATCGTCGAGATTATCTAAAATGTGGTTCAAAAGTTCCTTGAGAATTACACTTGGCGGTATGCAGTGAATTAGCAGCTCATAAAGTCTCCCGCGGATCTCCAGAAGTCTATAAAAGTAGCGAGTAGTGGAAATAGAGCACGTGGATGTACAGCGGAAGATTCGCAGACGCCTGAGGAGTTTGCTCGTGCAGGATTTTCATGGCCGTTTCTTTGGTGTAAATCTCCCACTCTGGCACGTGTATGTTCTGGTCCTCCTCAAAAGGGTATCTGTCCGGGTTTTAAAAAAAATCTGATCATCAGCTCTCGCATCGAGAGGCAAATCTTAAAACCTGTAGACCTTACAGGCTTCGAGGGCAAGTAATGCCCTTCGCAAATTGCCTTTTGCTTGACAAGCGATCCTGTCGACTAGACCAGAAGGAATTTCTATAAAATTTAGATTTTTTTTTTTTTTTTTTTTATAATCGTAAAAAAAATAATCAATTCACAGAATTGATAATTTTCAAAATTTTCAAAATTTTTGCTAGAAGAAAGAGTTTAGAGATAAAATAAACTACCGAGTCCTTCCTGAATAGCCACCTTGTTAATTACTGCCGACACCTACATGAGCCGTGTGAGGAATTATAAGCGAGCAAAAGTATATTAATTCTATAGATGACTTCGGACAAAGAAGGAGCAGCCACCCTGACATGTAAACATCTGCTCCGGACTGGCGAAATAATCTAGAATTAAAAATTAATACTAAAATTCAGGTAGACAAGGACAAAAATGTTTTTATGAAAACTTCAAACTGCTAAAAGTTTTATCTAAAAAATGAAAATGGAGAGACCTGAGAAGAAGAGTTGCACAAAAGAATCAATCTACAGGAAGTAATGTATTTTTCCATAGTTCTTCGTATCGCGTTCTGAGCCAGTTTAGTTAAAGAATCGCACTCGTGAATAATAATAACTACGAGAATTCATATAACGGAAGCCGATTTTAAAATGTTAGACTTTACACTTATAAAACAAGTACGTCACGCTTACCTTTATAGGGCTTTTGGTCTATAGAATTCAGTTGCTGGGTCGAGGCTATATCTTTAAGTAATGCCTGAATTACAAGTCTATCTTTGTTTCCACAATCACTGTGAAAAAAGTATTTTTCATAGAAAAAAGATCTCGAAATAGTAAATATATTAATATTTATTAAAAAAAATTAGACCTCGGATTAATTTCAAAGTGGTATAAACTTGCTCCGACGTTAAGCGTTAACTTTGCTTCGTTAACAGTAAATTCTCTTTGCTTAATGTTAATTTTCTGAACGCCTATGAATTTAGGAATATGTAAAAAGAGAAATAGGAAAGACTTTTTAGGAGCACCAGATCCATAAATCTGTTGCAGCAGGCACATAGCCATAGTGCGTTTTCCCGAACCTGACGGGCCATGAAACAAAAGATGAGGAAAATCATCTTTCTTTGCCTTTGTATAGATACCACTAAGAGAAATTGTTTGAACTCAAATATATTTTGCATACTACCAAAATACCAATTAAAAAAAGTACAAGTTACATATAAAACTCGTAACGAAATAATATATTCTAGTTTTGACTTAAAAAAAATATATTAAAGCAGGTAAGTTAAATTGTAATACAAGGTTCTGCAACTGCAAAGCTTCCTCTGTATTAAAAGTTAGTTCGTCAAAAGAGGTGGGTCGATACTCATCTACCCACAAAGTCATATTAAGTCTTACTTAAAAGTTTCTAAACACTTAAGAAAAATGTTATTTATTATTTAGAGACAAATTTTTTTTTCTTTCAAGCCTTAATAAAAAATACTATTGTTTGGCAAAGTTTGTGGCACAGCGCTTTCCACCGACTTTTACATGAAAGCGACGCTCCCCCACGCAAGCGCTGTCTTAACTTAAAAGTGTATTCTATTCTTTAGTGGAGGAGTTCTCCAAAAAATTCTTGTAAGTTATATTATATTTTAAGAATGAGCAGCGTAATACAGTTTTATTTGAAATTATATTGAGTCTATAAAATTCAAACTTAATAAAATTTAGTTTGCACAGCTCGTTAGAGGTAAATCATTTTGCTTAGTATTTTAGTCCTCGCTCGAAGCTAATAGTTTTAACATTAATTTAAATTTAAAAACGGTTGAAACCTACCTTTTTTAAGTGTTCAACACTTCATTCGTAGTATTATAAATAAAAAGTAATTTGGATTTCGCTACAGTAACTGAGTTGTTTATACCCCTTTTATTTACCTATATTTTAGAAATACGTATGAACCAACCATATTATTAATAAAAGTAAAACTTTCATTTCTTTCTATTTTTAATTAATTTTTCTTGGTTAAAGTGTATAACTTTTCTGTTTAAAATGTTCAAAGCCCTTAATTTTTAGATGTGATCTATGCCGTCTAGCAATAGTGAGCTTTACTTTCCTCCCTACTATAAGCATGGTATCATCTTTTTTTTGCACTACAGCTGAGTAATTTTTTAAAAGTTGGTAGTTTTGACGCAAGGGATTGTCACTTCGATCTCGTACCTCCTAAGAAACTGTTTCAAAGTGCTTTCACGTCCTCTTTTTCATTGTAAAGGGAGTTAATTCAGAGTAAACTTTAAAGCTGTGCTCTTCGATTAAGATAACTTTATAAACAATGCGAATTTATAGTCTGCTTATTACTAATAAGACTCTTGTATGCCGATTTCACTTCATAGTTTTAAAAATTGGTTTTATACTTTTTTAATAATCGTTGATCCTGAAACCCATCCCTCGTAGTTCTTCAGAGTTTACTGTAGTGTGTGCAGCAAGGAAAACAATACAGGTAAAAAGAAAAACGGTTTAGACAAAGTTGGTCGTATGCTCTACCATTCTTAAAACTTTTTTTTCGTTTGTGTTCTAAAAAGTGAGGCGCTAATAACACCCGTGGATTTAGTGCCCTTTTAATCTACCCATGTATATTTTGAAAAATTTACCTTTAAAAGGCGTACCCAGCATAACAAATTTAAGATACAAACTTTTTATTTAAAGAAGCAAATATTAAATATAAATTTCTTCATATTAATTAATGCTCAAAAGTTTTTTGTTCGGGAACGCCCACCAGTTTTTCAAACTTCCAGCTGTCTTCAAAGGTCTTTGTTGGAGGGAAAATAACGCCAAGTAAAATTTGCAACACTTTTAAAGATGGTTGCCGCATGCATAAGTATATTCAAGGTAAAATTTTCATAAAGAATATATACAACATACTTTACAAATAGGCCACCCACTTACATCTCAAAAGCTACAATTAGGGAGCAGCGCAGGTAAAATTAGCTCTTCTACTGCAGGAGCGTGCCGTCTCTATTTATTATTAATTGTTATGCTTGCGTAATTACTTACGTTACCAGCAAGATAGCAAAATAACCAAAAACTGTGAAGAGATGAGAGGGTTCTGAAGTTTCGATGGAATTACGTATATGTTTTTACACCCATTCTTTTATAAAAAAAATTAAAATCGTTTAAGTAGCATGAAGCTCTTATTTATCTCTGTAGGTTTTTTTTAATTACCGAGTACCTATCGGCTTGCAAAAGATTTATATGATATAATGGTAACCTTTTTAAGAAATAAGTTTTTAAAAGTAATTGATTAATAAAAACTTTATGGCTTCTAAATATGAAAGCACCCCCTGCGCATTCTCACTCATAATGTTTCCTAATGAAATAAAAAGGGGATACCCAGCTAATTACTGTACAATTGTACCAAGTTAATTTTTTGAAGATAAAACACCACGTGACTAACGAACCGTTAAACGAGATGAGGTGAAAACCATATAACAAAGCAACCTGTACAGTAGATTAACTTCCACTTAGTTTAATGAGGCGTTAACACTGACATAATACCTAGGGACTGCTTGTCACTATGGTTTCAAGGTCCTGCCTTGTTACCACTCATATACTTTTTTTTAATTGTGTCAACGTTTCTGCGTTATTTTATTTAATCTCTTGTCTTTAATGAAAAATGTGTAATAATAAGTGAGCATGATACCATTGAATACAATAGTAATTAAGCGGGTATGGTCCCTACGGCTAAAAAACTGTCCTTACTATCAAGGATTATTAAGTTCCCAAGGTATATTAGTTAACTAGTTGGGAGGTGTCCTTAATGCCAACCTTATCTTATCATTTATTACTAGTTATTCCATTTTTTTTTTTTTAAAAAAAATTAGAGCAAAGAGATATTAATAAACTAACGACGTACGGAAGCGTTAAATCCTAATTAAGTTAAAATTTTCTCTTGTCATACGTCTGAGCCCATTTTTAAAATTCTTCTGAGTTGTAGATCTTTAAAACTACCATACACTATGACAAAATTATCCCTTAGCAAAGTCACTAATCCAAGCTTTATTAAAGCGAAACATATTAACCTATGGTTTCCGATGCTCTTTACTTTTTATTGCGTGATGAAATTAGTTTTTTTGCATTTATTTACTGTTCAATGAATATAAGGAATGTTAATTTTAACTTTCCTCCGAAACTAACTATTCCTTTTCTCGTTAAGTTTCGAATTATATTGCTCTCCTTTTTAGTTAAAAAAATGACATTTTTTTAAAACTACCTTGATGAAAGTTGGAAAATTACACTTCCACTTGATTAAGATAAAAAATTTATTTAATTTGCAATTAACATCTTTTTATCTTGTTGTAGTGTTAATTATTACTTTTTATGATACAGTTTAAACATATTTATTTATGTTAGACTCTGGGTGGAACGCCAGTAGAAGTAGTAAACATACCACAAGAAATTGGTTTTCTAAGTTTTTTTTGTACGTTATAGTCACTTTAGAATTACTCAGTCACCCATAAACAAACAGACTAAATAAAGTGTGAAGCAACTAAGTGAAAGTCCCTAATTAAGACAATGGGGCTGAATTAAATTTTTTAAGAAAAAAGAGACTAAAATTACTTATTTTTTAGGAGAAAATATATTAATAATAGCTTGCTGTAAAAGGAGTTAATACAGAAAAAGGTTTAAGAAACTCTGGCACGTTAAAGCGACCTCATAAAGACTAGCAGTACTCGAACATAAGCATTACTACAGTTATAAATTTTAAAAAGCGTAACACAAAAATTGATACAGCTATGAAGACTTCCGCTGTAAACTCACACATCTACATTCAGACACTATAGACCTGCCTTTAGTTTCTCATACTTAAACAATTACTTAGAATTGAAGTTTGTTGTAAAAGCTCGTATAGATGAAAAAAATAGGCAGTTAATTAGGATTAGGATAAATATATCAATATGACTTACTAGCTGGTTCAAATGAAGTTACCGCTGACATGCAACGCATCCGCACATAATTAGTACAAGAACCATAATAGATTATAAATACGCATAAAAAAATTGGTATAATGAATAGTAAAATAGTTGGTTACAAACTAGAAACAGAAAAAACTCAGAACAATAGAAAACTTGGTTTAAACGAAAAGACTAATAACTGCTTTAAAAGCGAAGGTAGTACCAAGCTTCCCAAGTACGTTGCAATTCGATTAACCAGCAATCGAAAATAGACTAAAAAACGCGGTAAACTACTTTACATTAATACCCTTAATGAGGTATTACATCCTTAAAATAATCTACTATTAATAAATTCTTGTCTCTAGATATAAAGCTAAGCTAAGCTTCCTCTTAAAGAGTTGTCTAATAAATCCAAAATATAATAGAAACCAAAGAATTTATAACAATACAAAATAAGCTTTAGTATGAGAAGTTAAAATGAATGAGGCATTCATGTTTATATAGGCAAGATTTTATAGACTCATGCATATTATAGGTATTAAAATTACCACTTGTTCCCCAGTACATGATTAACACAAGCTCAAAACTAATGTTATCTAATATGACATAAAGCATACTACAAGGCCATGTGAAAGAAAGCGAAACGCATGGGAGCCGCTAAAAAAGAAAATACTTTTCAATACAGTTACTTAACAATATTCCAACCCAATTGTACTTACGAACAAATACTAAATATTGACAAAGAACCTAGCACGCTATAAGCATACTCACTTTGAGAAATCGAAAAACGCCAATTTTAACCGACCACTAATAAATTATTTTATTAACTACCATAAAAAAGTACCCTCATGACGGTGGGACGTTCCACTTTGCAAAACAAACAACAGAGAAGTTCAAAAATTCACCTCTCTAATTGATCTTAGTAAGTAGTAAAAAATAAATTTACACTATTATGAGTCAATTTGTTAGCAGGGGTATACCTTCTGTATATACTAATTTTTTGAATGCTTTTAATTAATGAGCTTCCTTGCTTTTAGTATATACTTTTTCTCTAAATTCCTGGGATAAAGTAAATTATATTGTCGGCCCAAGGGTTTAGTTTAACGTTACTTATTTAAATTTTTAACAAATTCTGATTGTGCTTTGTGACGAGTTAATTTTTATTTTTATTAAATTTGTTAAAAAAAGGATTAACATTAACCTTATTCTAAGTATATGAAGTTAAAATTTAAAAAGTAGTTAAACTTATTAAATATATAGGACTATAAAATTATAGAGAGACAATAAGCTAAGGAATGTGTACAATTTTTGCGCAGCATGTCATTTGTTAAAAGCAGATAAAATATTTAGTACAGAAGCATTTACAGTGTAACCTCTACAATAGCTCATTAATTAAACTTTTTATATGTAGAACTGCAAATATGAAACCTCATTTATTAAACAAACCCACAACCAGAAACAAGATTTGCTTCCATTTTAAATACATTTTAAAATATTGAACTAGCTTTTATCTTTAATGTTGTATAAATAAGTCAACCCTTTCCCCTACATCATACCACATTATCTTTTAGTTATTGACTATTTTTAGTAAAGTCGATAAAACGTCTTCGCAATATAAAAAATTTATTACAAAATCAGATGGAAATTTAATGTCCCATTTTTTAAAGTTAGTCGGGTAGATGTTTTGGTTTTGCTTAAAGAAGACTTTACCCATTTTTATCCTTGCCGTTCGCAACTAATATTTGTTCCATAGCTTATAGACGTCGTTTCTTTATTAATTTTTTTTTTACATTTCTTCCTTTAATGGCAGTAGTACTAATGTTAGTTATAGAACGATAAATGCCAATATCATTTATCCCGATAAAAACGTTTTTCTCGTTACAATGAGTACCACCAAAAATCTTGAGTTAAAAATATCATACTTATCCGGTTTTAATTCTTATAGTGAATAAAAAAGTTCAATTTATTTTTGTATAATATTAAGAAGTTGCGTTCACCAAAAAAGGGTAATTTTATTATATATGAACCTTAGTTTACCTAGCTCTGGTGCACTGATTGTTTTGAAAAAAAGACGTTAAATAACGGTCTTATTAATAGTAATAAGTTAAATACACTCTATTTTTTTTAATATTATATTATACTTCATTAAATAAGTTTTTAGTGTACTTAAAATATTTAAAACTTTTGTTATTAATACATTAGACAATTAAAGCAGAAAAGAGAATTAAGAAATTAAAAATAAAATGCCCCGCCCGTTCAAAAATTAAATTGACACCCTCTAGTGTAGGGAAATATAATATTAATTACGTCATACAATAAGTACAACTTTTTTTTTTAAACAACCCATCATTTAGTTTTTTAAAAGTGTTGTTTATAATTATATACTTAAAAATTTTGTTAATACATAATATGTGATCAGCTAATTTGTGGCTCCGGTTGTAGCTATCAAACCTTTTTGCAAACTTAATTATTTAATTATTGTGGATATAATAAACTTTTAATATATTAATCTCTAAGATTTTTTTGCACTAAAGATAAAGTGAACCGTATGTTTAGGAAGTAATAGAGTAAAGAAGATTATAATGCTTAAATAGATTTAAAAAATATTTTTAGCGTTGGTCAACTAATTATATGTGCTAGATGAGGGGAGCTAAACCAAAAATGGGCAGAATAAATAAATCAAATTTATCTAATTGGCTTTCATAACGGAAGATGGAAGTCGCGTTTTGCTTCTGGAAAGCCGGTAATAGTTGAGCGTTGCTAAAGCGGACTTATAATGTTCACAGTAGCTATATAGTAAGTAGTGGTTTAATGCGTAATCCATGTCAAAACAGCTGGGAGAATGGATATTGGACGTCCCTTTAAAGAGTTGACCGAACCCCTTAAAAATCTTAAACTACGAAAAAAGAGTAAATTTCGGAAGAAGTCCGCCCCTTCTGAGAAAGTAACTAAAAAGGGTTATGATCTGCTTAACGATGAAAAGGTCCTCGACCATGAATTAGAAAATTTAGATATTATTGACATTTCAAAAGAAAATGGAGGGAATTGTGATGTCAACAATAAAAACGTTTTACCTGAAACAGAAATAGACCGAAGAGAAGAAAAGTTAAAAGGTGAAATAAGTGAACTTCAAAATATGTTAAATGTATTAAAGAGCGAACTTAACCCTGCTAACCTAAATAAAACTTCCAAAGATTTGGAAACTGATGACGAAGGTATGTCAGCTGAGGAAAAATACGAACTTAATATCCTTAAAACGGAAAATGAGACACTTTCTAAGACAGTGCAAGAGATTATGGGAGTAAAAGAACTTTCCGTTGAAAAGCTTAAAGAAAAAGCTTCCAATGGAAGAATATTTAAAGATAAAGGAGAAGAGTACCACTGGTTAAAAACGTACATTAAAAATTCAGATCACGAGCAAACTTACCAAGAACAGCAAATAGAAGTACTAACTGTTGACCAAAAAGAACTACTTGCAAAATCAGAGATAACTTTTGAAAATAATATAGCGGAAGAAAAACTTTTAAGGCTTCAGGCAGAAAATAGTCGTCTGGTACAAAAAATAAAAGAACTATCCAAAGGACGTAAAATAAACGAAAAGGCGAACTGCAGTAGCAAAACAGCAACCGCACAAGGGGGCACAACCCAAGCAAATTTAGAAAAGGAATGGGGAGCAGAACGCGGTAAGTGTTACACTTTATTAGAAATGTAGAGTTGCAAGTTTGTTATGGTTCAATAGTTCAAGCGCTTTAGATAAGCTTTTTTAAAATATCTACTACATGTTTTAGGGGTGATACTTGGTGTCCAAACTCTTCCCCCTAAACCTGAAAGTGGGATACCCGAAATACAAGCATGCCAAATGACTATTGCGAGGCTAGAATACAAATTGAGAGAGGCGGAAGCTAAAGTTTCTTGGGCGAACAGAAGAGCCTCTAAAAGAAGGTAAGCAGTCTAACCGGAACTTTAAACTATAAAAAAATAGGGTACTAATAAGAAAGATCGTTTGAAGGATTTAGTGTAAAAACATTAAGCCATTTTAACCGTGTATATTTAGTTTAATTAAAAATCCGTCAGTAATATTTTTATTGACACTGCGCTTAAGGAATGTTAAGGTTCCTATTCTTCTTAACTTTATTCTGTGCAAAACTTATACAAAAAGCTCTTATAATAAAACATGATGTATATTTGTAAAAGCTGTTTCCTCTCACCTTTAGTACTAGGCAAGATTATTGCAGTGGGCCAGAGCCTCCAGGAATGAGCTATAAGAGAAATTATTTAAATATTACAAACGAGTTAAAGTTACTAAAGCTATATTAGGTCTGGTACCATCGCTATATTATTTCCATTTAATAAAATTTGTTCAATTTTCGTGATGAGCCTTCCTTCGCTGGTGGTCTCACTAGCAACAAAACGTTTTCGTTATTAAAATATAGTGTAAGATGAATTATATTTATGAAAGTTTGCGTACTATTAGGAAAAGAGCTAGTAAACGTACAATTCTGTAACATCTTCTAAGACCATGTTTACAAATTTATCAAATCCAAGAAGAGTACCGACAAGTTCTTTGTCATACTTCATTATAACCCAAATCCGACTGCCGATACACTTGTCTATTAACTCTATAGAAAAAGTTTTATAAAATACATCAAGAAAACCAAGAAAACTACTAAATAAAAGATACCCAAAGGCAGAAACTGGGGAGCAACGGCTGGTTGAGACATATTTCCAGGCGATAGTAAAATTTTGAAAAGGTTTATTTTGTATAAGAGGTTTGCACTAAAAACCTCATCAAACAATTAGCTTAGCACGAATTGTGTGGGTAACGCCAATTATAATAAGTCGACGGGGTGTAGAAATAAACTGTTATCTCAATATTTTAAGTTTCTCTTTCATCTTTTTAAATTATATAAAAGGAAATATAATTTAATGTTTAGGAAGAAGAGGTTTTAATACCTCCTATTAGTTGTTATACATTTTGTTTGGTTGCTTTTGTCTCTTTTACCCTTTTTAAAGCGTGTAGTAGGGAAACTAAATAAAATGTCTAGGGAGAAAAGGTTTAGATATCTCCTAGTTATTATTTTACATATAGTTTAAGTTTAACACTAACTAAGGAGAAGACAATCTTGAAAAGAAGTAAGCTTACAAGCAAAAAAAACTTGTTCATAAAATTTGCTAATAGGTTATTATCGGTACTAGTGCATGCAACAGAGATGCGCGATCTATCAACAACTTCTGATCTGAGCGTGATATAAGTGCAGATAATAGTATTAACTTAAGTGATCAAGTTAAAGTAGGCTCGCTTAGGTAAGACAAGTTATTACACTTGTTTTTTCGAACTAACTGGAATTTCATTAGATAAAATAAACGAAAAGGTTTTGTCATGGAATTAAAAAAAATAATTGTAACGAGTAACTATATAGTAGTAACAACTGCGTCCGACAGGATGGCTTTATGCAATATGAGACTGGTGAGGTTTATTAACTATTTTTCAACATCGCTTACCAACCATTTAACTCCACGGAGTCCCCCAACATCATAAAATGAATATTAGTCGGTGAATTTCCTAAACTCAATCCGGGCATATCATTTGTGAGGGCTATTTGAAATAAATAAGAAAAAGAAATGGTGAAAGAGATAAAACACCCAAGTGGCCTGTAGTTTTTAAGACGGCTACACAATTTAAAGATAAATCGCAAGATGATCTCATCGCAGAGGCAGATTCAAACGTATTACTGTACTGTTTAACAAAACTATGGGAGAAGAGTTATTCCCTACAGCATCATACCGGGATATATGGTAATAGTCATATCTTAGCACTTAAAAGCATTGATGTCCAAACTCAAGGTCGAATGTGCGCTTCCAACCGACAATACTCACTTTTTCCGATTTTGTTAACTAAATATTTATTTCTGTTGCTATCAGCAATAAATAAATTTAGTTATTATTAAAATCAATAATTATAAACACACGAAATGTATAGAAACGTTAAACTTCCCAGATTATATACATGTGGTTATAAGCGAACCCAAAGAAAGAGTTAAGTACTACCAAGCTACGTTACATGTTTAGAAAGAGCGCCTAGCAGTGGATACGTTTAAAATTTAGTAAAAATTTTAACTGTATTGAGTGAAGAGGCGCGTAATGTTACTCATTTAAAACTACTACACAGGAGTACTTAGAACTTTTATGCAATTGCGCTAGTATTAATGAGTCTACAACACGACTCTTTAGATAAATGTGCATAATTCATCTGGCGGGATACCGCATTACAGGCGAGTCATGAGTTGATTTGGTAGTGCCGAAGATAATACATCCCTCTGATCCGCCTAGTCGCATCTGCGGTCATAATGCTGGCTCTCTAAGTTTGAGGCACTGCAAATAAAATCGCGTTGTATTTTGACAAATTAAGAAATTTTAGTTTTCTTTATACAATTTGTTTCTAGGAGTTTTGTCAATATAAACAAAAGCAACTTCTCTGGGCCAATTTTATTAATTGACCATAATAACCCCTATTTTAGTTGTCTTCTCGTAAACAATTAAGTAAGAAGATCTGACATAAACAAAGACAAGCGGGTAGTCAGTAGATATCCACTGCTAGGCAATAACACTGTTTCTAAAGTGCTGCTATTATTGCTTTTAAAAGGCTAAAGTGATACAATAATTTAACAGAGCGTTTGGATCCTAATCAGCAGACGTCGTATTCCTAGATGTTGAAAGCGATTGCAAGGTTTTTTAGCACAAGGATAAGTAAAGCACAGTTGTTCATTAAAAGAGAAATACCACAAAGCTCTTCACGCTCCTTCATGCTCTTTGCGTTTTATGTGCGCGAGGAGCTCGTGCAGGGTATTTAGTCAACAATCAGCTTGCTGAAGAGTAGAGAAATTTTTGCCTTGGGAAACCTTGAGCTTCTACCGTCACTAGTTTCCGATGGTGTATTGATCTCGTGATGTCCCCAGTTGAGATATTGGGGACCACTATTGATGCGCCAACAGCAACCTCTCATCGCGTAACAGGCGGTGTCAGTTATGACATACGTGCCTTTTGACTACACCGGTTTGCAAACAATAGCTTCCCCGATTTAAATATTATATAGCAAGTTGCTGCGCGTCATGTATTGTGCGAATCAATGCTCTATATCGTAACCTCAGGACTGAACTACTAAATAACGTTTTTTTAAAAAATACTGGCTTTACTTTCAAACGATATAACCGAAACACACCGATCGACTCTCTTGCTAGGTTTCCCGTAAAAGATAAGGGTTTTTTAACAAAATGATATCACAGCTAAGAGCGAAGTACTAAGCAATGCTGAGGGAATATTAGCAGCCGTTACTAATAATGTGAGGAACAATGCTCTCGTCGTCCATACAATGTGCTTTACATTCTTGTTGTATTAATAATATGATTTAGGACCAAGGTATATAAATTATGTATGTGGATGAATTTGCTTTTATTCAAGCTGGAATCTTATTTTGTACGTTATTAAGAGTTTAAAAATTCTGTATTAATTTTAGCCAGAGATCTGCACCCTCGTTTAAAAATGTTTCAATGTTTTGCATTTTTTTTATTTAATATAGAATAACTTTTTAATAACATGATATATAACTTGAAAACTTATACACAGTACACTTCTGTGTTTTAGCTACATTTTGAAAATACATGATCTTTAATTGGTTTAATATTTGAAAGATACGGTCTTGCAAAGTTAAGAGATTATAGAAACAATTTTGCACGTAGATAAAATTTAAATTAATAAGATTTTTAATAATTAGTATAGCTCTCTTTTGCCTGAATCAATGATTGTATTCTTTTTGGCATGTTGTTTAACAGATTATAGTATTGACCCGAGTTATATTTCCCATTCTTGTTGTACTCGAGCCCAAAGCTCGTTCGAGTTAGCAGGAGCTGCTTCGTATGATCCCAATTTTCTCTTCAAGATTCCCTACGCATACTGAATGGGAATGAGACCAGGGAATTGCGGTGATCGGTCTAGCACTTGAGAAGACTGGGCACTGGAGCTATAACTGCACCGCTAGCGTAGTGTGACATGGGGTATTATCCCGCTGATAACTTTTCATCAAGATTAAGGCCCTACCAATTGCATGTTCTGGGTAGGTCATTCTCAGTAACCTAACTACGTGTTTGCGGTGATGCTCCCTGGCACCTTTTTAAAAAATCCAACTCCCTCAGGTGTTATAAAGGACTATATTATAATTGATCCTCCTTCATGTTTATACGTTTGCAGAACCTGGTATTCAAGTATTCGATTGTCGCCGACTCTCTTCCAACACCACCTATACCATCTGAATAATATCAACTGATTTTGGTCTCTTCCGAAAAAAAAACTTTTTCCAGGTCAGAAATGCTGATTTCGTACTTTTTCACAAACTCTTATTCTCTCGTGATGGTTTGACAAAGCGGGTTTTGTTAATTTTTTTTTCTCATAGAAACCAGCAGAATACGATGCACTTCAAACGGTCATGAAACTGATCTATCTAATATTGTTTTTATGACTTTAAAAGTGAGCAAATTCGTGCGCATTCGATGTCAATTGCCGTACAAGTCGATCTACATCTCGGTTTTTTAAGACCTTTGGACGCCTAGATTCATTGCAAGAACGATTTTTATCATGAGTTTTAATTCGGGATATCGTGCCTTACTGACACCTTATTCACGAGCGATCTTAGTAGAAGACTTGCTTTAATACATAAGACATCCTTTTTTATTGATTGATAGTTTACGCCTTATTTAATTAGAGTCTCTAACTAAGCTATCCTTTATAGTTACCCAAAAGCTTTAAAAAAAACCCTATGATGAAGATTAAAACAATTTTGCACGAAGAAGGATCACATTAATGTTTTTTAAAAAACTGAGGAAGACCAGATTGTAATAAGGAAAAAAAAGGTATGGGAAAAATTTAGCTATAAGAGCTACCAGCCTAAAGAATTAAAAATTTGTTTATTTTTTGCTTATAGCATAATCATATGCAGTGATCTTAAGTTGAGTATGAGTATAAGAGAAGATTATACATTTTGTCTTTAAGAGTTTATAAAAACCTTTTATTTAAAAATTTAAATTGTAGTTTTGTTAGCAAGGGACATCCTGACCTGCAAAAATCACTGGTCGGTAAATTTAAGACGGTCTCAGGTCTAGTATTTAAGGCTCACTCTCCTGTTAATGGTTTTAGTGGTTTTTTACCTATTTTTCAGGCCGAATGGAGACCATTAGAATTTATGAGGGCTAGGTTAAATGCGCCACCATTAGAGGAAAAGAGAGTTGCGGTCGTTGAGAGTGGAACCTTCAACCTGGAGAATCGCGTGAACGCTCTTAACCGCTGAGCTACGACGGCAACGCTCGATCCCGACATAAACTTGCGCCCAAATAACTATAAATTAACTTGTATATATATTAACTTCGCCATAAAACTCTTTGGGAAAAATATGTGTAGTATGTACTAGTTTGGTTAAGAAGTTGTTATTCCCTTACCTTAAGTAAGGTTAACATTTAAACAGTTCCGGTGATTATAAAATTTGTTCTAAAATGAAAAATGCATTTAACAAACATATTATAATATATGTGATTATTATTATCTTTTATGTAGACAAGTCAGAAGCGGTTAATTTTAAAAATAGTAACATTTAAAACCAAACTTTACCGTAACATAATTTAGATAAGAAAAATAGAGATACATTTTTTAAAAAAAGCATTCATAGAAGAAGCTCT